TCTAGTACAGATATCTACAAAACTAAGTAGAAAATAGAAATAGAAATGAAGTCGGAAATAAACTAAGAGGTATACTATCTTCATGGATAAAAAAAAATCTCTTCTGAATTAATAAACAACCAAAATTCAACAGCTATCACTAGAAATTTACAATCTGATCTGAAATAAATGTCCAATAACAACGGGCCCAAGTACCAGTGAAAATTGGAGAAGAAAAATGAGAAAGAAATAGGGAGAGAAGATGAAAAGAAGAAGAGTATGGTGAGAGCACAAAAGTATCAAGTGTAATTTCAAGTTCTGTAAATGAAACCATGTGGTGTCCACGTAGGTCTATACCAGTGACACCCAGGGAGAGCCCAGAGACAGGTTCGCCCACACGTGTGAGTGCTGTTGTGGAGACAGCCCTTAAACAGCGGTGAACATGGTGGGGAACTGGCTCTCCACATGGAAAAACCGGAGCTGGACCCACCCCCTGCGTGGACCCTCTCTCATCCACGGAACATGGTAGAGGAGACTGTGGCGGCAAAGTCACTCATTAAGTCCTCCGGAAGCAGGAAGAGGTCTGACTTTATTGCACAGTTACCATGTGTACACACTCAGGCAGTAGCTAAGCGGATTATAGGCAGCCACCAATGCAATGTCTGCTCACTGTCCTTGCAGAGACCAGTCGAGGAGTGGGCCGTGGAGAAGTGCAGGGACTGCCACACACGGCCTCATGCCCAGGGCTGCCACTCACATGCCCAGCACCAGGGGAGTGGCCTGCCACTCAGATGCCCCTAGCATGCCACGTATGCAGTACTGCATGCACCTGTCCCCACAGTACCCTACAAATGTCCCAAAACAAAACCCAAGGAAACTGAGTTTATTCTTTTAGACCATGAACCTGGAGACAAGGGTCCTTTGAACACTCTGGACATCTCCTGGTCACGGGTGATAACTTCTCTAGAGTGCCTACCACTGAGACCATCTGCTTGTTCCTAAATCATGCCTGTGTTTATTTATATTTGTTTATGCCGCATTTTTTCCCAGATGATTCTATAAGTTCACCTCCTAGACTGGCAGTGTGTGTTTTCATTTTAGTCAAGACTGTGACCAAAGACGTTCCCCCATCTTGTGAGTCTCAAGTTGTGTCTCATCTTATTTCCTTCGTTAGTAATGAGCATAAATATATTATGAGCATAAACATATCAATGAGCAAAAATATCTCATACAGTGCATAAAAAGTACACGTTTCCTTTTCTCTCATGAGACTTTAGCCAGTTTAAAATTTTTCTTTACCTTCTTACGATATGTTTTCCTGATTCTTAAACTTCTTATCATAGAAAATTCTGAAATATAAACAAAAACAAAGACACTGACATTCTCATATTATCAGATACATATATGACATTCATATATGTACCTAATAATATCAGACACATAGTCATTACTTCATATATCATCAATTTGTTCCTCTGGACCCACTAACCCTCCCATCTTACGCTGAAACAAATCTTATCAACATCATTTCATCAGCAAATAGTCAGTGTGTTCCTATCACGTGTCAGACTTTTCTGGGAGTACAGTCTCTGATCCCAGCTACTTGACTGAGGCAGCAGGATCACAAGTTCCAGTCCAGGCTGGGACATTTCAAAATCAATGAAAAAACACTTTAAGGCCTGGGGACATCACTCCATGATAGAGCACTTGCCTAGCATGTTGAAGCCCTGGTCGGTCCCTAGTACTGAAAACACACACACACACACACACACACACACGCACACACACACGCACATGCACACACACGCACACACCCTACTTCAATTTATGATCTTGGTTCCTATTTAACAGGAAAACTTTTAATAAAGTCAAGCTAACCTGACCCCGATCCCTGTCTGCTTCCTTTCTGGGTGCCCTCACTTGCGGAGGATCATGTACAATTCCCCCTCAAGCCCTTGAGATCTGTGGATCAAAAAACAACCCAGAGGAACCCTCAGAGTTCTGGCAGCCACAGGAAGAGACAAACAGGAAGTGAGTGGCCACTGGTAGCCAAAACCAAACCAAACCATAAATAACACTAGCTGGGTGGCTGAGGGGACATCTACGTGGCCACAAGTGGCCTCACAGGGAGGTGCCCCATGGGAGGACTGGGCAACCTAGGGCTGCGGCATTTCCCTGTGGGCCTCTGCCTCGGTCCTTGGGGGGTGAGGGGCAGGGTTGACGGGTGGGGACCAAGTGCTCCAAGCCACACCTGCCTGGGACACTTACAAGCCTGAGTCCCCAGAGCTGCAAATGCTTCTGAGCAGGTCTCTGCAGGCTCTGATCCAACCCTGTAGGGGATTCCTAAGATGTTGTCACCCTGGCCATCCCCTGCATGCCCTGCCTAAAGGACCCCAGAACACCTCTGGGAAGAACTTGGGCTCCTTCTTTGTGGCTCTGAGAGGTCAAGCTCCCTACCTGGTCTTCTTTAGCCTGGAAAAGATCCACCTGCTCCATTTCTGCACCCTTTGGACCCCACTGTCCTTCTAAGCTAGAGTTCTGTGGCTGAACATCTCACGGAAGCTGAAAGATGGGTTCCTGTGTCTTCATGGACCCCAGGGTTCAGGCATGTGGAGTTCTGTCTACAGTTCTGTCTCTGTATGTCTGTGAGGTCTTGGCGGCACCAGCTGACTTGGACATCAGTGAACCCTCATGATTTAAATAATGAGGCTCTCTCAGCTCCAGGTGACCTGGGTGAATCTTTAACAGGTGACACCTACCATCACTGGGTCAGTGTAAGTGATTGATGATAAAATACCTGACTATTTAACTTCAGGGTCATGTTTGGTGGTTATAGCTAATGAGCAATTTTAGTAATAATGGAAAACTGGGCTGGGGCTGGGGCTCAGTGGTCGAGCGCTTGCCCAGCACATGTGAGGTCCTGGGTTCCATCCTCAGCACCACATACAAATGAATAAAATGAAGGTCCATTGACAATTAAAAATTATATGTATTAATAAAAGACTTCCAAAACCTTTTCAAGTAATTATACCCTCAAGAGTTTTTCTAAGTTAAATTAGATGGTTATTCATGGACTACCCAGGTCATTTCTAAATGCAGCAACATTATCAGTACTCAACACAGATTTAAGCTTATTTACTTTTGGTTTCTTAAATTTCATGTAGAAATAAAATATATTTGGATCCTCAGTAAGTATGTCCTGTGTATCACTGAAAAAAACTCTCCTACGAGTAAACACACATTTTTAGAAATTACACAGTGTGTATTTATAAATTGGACTGGTTCAAACTGCTTACCTCCTAGGTTATAACTAGAACTTATAGCTACTAAATTTAGAAGTCCTACTTCATAGAATCAAAATTGCTAGCAATAAAAGAATTCTATATGCAAAGCGTACAAAGAAAGCAGGAAGTATTTTTGATGAAAAACCTTTAAAAACAAGATGTATTTTTGTTGAAAGAGAATCATAAGAGTGAATAAAAAATTAGGTAAGATTGATGGGTCTTTAAAAAGGTTTTTATAAAACTATGAAAATCTCTTGAGTGGTCAGAGCGAACACTGATGGATTCATTTATAAGGTTTTATTAAGATTAACTTTTGTGCCAGGCACGGTGGCGCATGCCCGCAATCCCAGTAGCTCAGGAGGCTGAGGCAGGAGGATTACAAGTTCAAGGCCAGCCTCAGCAACTTATCAAGGTCTTAAGCAACTTAGCAGGTCCCTGTTTCAAAAAAAAAGGGGGGGGGGGGCTGGGGATGTGGCTCAGTGGTTAAGTGTCTCTGGTTCAATTCCCAATACCAAAAAAATTCACATTTTTATCAAGTACACACTGACACCTGTGATCCTATTTCAATAAAGCATTTAAATTTTTTAACCACAAACTAACGTTTGAACACTTCAGAAGGCTTATTTGATATGCTAAAATTATGTGGGAAACATCATCGAATAAGAAATGATATTCAAATTTGAGTTCCATTTGTAAGGTTAGTAATGTACATTACAAAACTGTATGTTATCAGTCGATCATTAGGTCAAATTGTTGTCTGCCACAGAAATAACCAAAATTTCCAGTCATCGTTATTATTCAAACTCTTATCAGACCTTTATATCATGGTTATTTAGGGTTTTTCTGTTAGTTTTTTTCAAGACAGTCTATGTTGCCAAGCTGGCCTCCAGCGGTAGGTCCTCTGCCTCAGCCTCCCCTCTGCCTCAGCCTCCTGAGTAGCGAGGACTACCGTGCCCAGTTCTGAAATCTTCTTGCTTTCGCTAAAAGTTCTTTGCAAACAACATAACCCTAGAGTGTCATGTCTCTAAGAAGTTTCATGGAAAAGTTGCACAACTCTCATCAAACAGGCTTCTGATAACTTGAGACCCTCCGAATAGCATGGACTGAAATTTCCAGAAACTTAATGGAAAAGCTGGACTCACAAAATCGCAACATCGACATCAAGCAAAACAGGAATTAATGACACAGGACCCGGCTGATGACAGGTGATGGTTTGGGACTTCTTGTTCAAAGCACTGGTGAAGGCAAGGCCCATGTGGCAAAGAACTGAGGCCTCTGGCCATCAGCCAGTGGGGAACACAGACCCTCGATCCAACAACCTACAAAGACAGCCCACCGAATCCTACCCCCAAAATCCCTCGGGTGATTCTGTAAGGTCTGGCGAGCTGGAGTCGCCCACAAGGATGACCACTTCATCTGACCCAGCCAGGGAGGCCAGGAAGTCCAGGAGGCCAGGAAGTCCAGCAGGCCAGGGAGGCCGGGGAGGCCAAGGAGGCCAGGGGCTTTGGTTTCCTCTTCCCACATGGGAGGGAGCATCACCCCCGTCAGGGGCTACTGCAATGTCTGCAGGAAGCCAAGAAGCTGGCTTTGAACTCACGGTAGAAAATTTTTAACAGACTCAACCCGGTTTGTCGGGATCTTTAAAAGAGGAATTTCAACTGCAATTTTCCAAAATTCCTATTTCCTTATATCCAAAGTATGCCCAACTTGTGAAAATAAGAGACGCTCAGACGCAGGTAGGAATCACGTTTCCTTTTCATTGAGCACTTCATTCACACCATGTCCTCTCTTGGCAACAGTTAGGTCCCGACCTGTCAAGAAGACTGCAGCGGACCAGAGAGAGAGCCCGTGTGAGCAGACCCGGCCAGGGCTCCGGACAGCACAACCAGCAAAAGGCTGGGAACCCAACATCCAAGTCTGCACCTTCTAACCGTGGGAAACCCGGAGCTCAATGCAAACACGGGAACCAAACTTCATCAGGAATGAAGTCCCTCCTCACACACCCAAAGGCAAGACGGTTTGAGAGATCCAGCCCTGACCATCTGGCCTCTTCTACCAGGGACGGCCCCACGCCAGCATTTTGATAGTTTTTTTGGTTTTTATTTCATTTCCCAAAGAGGAGTAAGATCTACTAACAGGGACAGGATGGATCAGATCAAATCAGCTCACTCACAGGAACATTCCGGGGTGGTGACCTGGGGTTGATGAGAAGGTTCAGCACAGTGTGTGACAGTGGTAAAGCTCAGGGCAACCTGACAGAGAAGTCAGAGGGGCGGCCACCCTCGGGGATGGCCGTGTGTGGGACGCACCTACCTGGGACCCCATGGTGTTCGGGGGCCAGGTCACCCCGATCATCGACAGGAGTCATTTTGTACATTACAGTGCACACAGCAGGACAGGAAAGACACTTTCTCGGAGGGTGGGTGAGTCAAAGGCTCTCTGCAGAAGGTCCACGTCACTCTGCAGACGAAAAGCTAGAACCCGGGGCCTCAGGGCCTGCATTAGCTGGAGTCCACCCCGTCTTTGGTCACAGTGGCCTCGGGGGGAGCTGTTGGCTCTCCGTGTTCCGCTGCCTTCTTCTCCTCCTCCTCCTCCTCGTCCTCCTGGGGATAGAGGTCCGGGTACTTCTGCATGCATTCCTGCATGGCCCGGAACTGGTCCACACAGTCTGACCCCTTGATGTCCTCTGTGCTATAGTGGAAGCAGGAAAAGGCCGATTTGAACTGTTCCCCACAGGGGCCGCTGGCCATGCCCCCCAGGCACGGGCAGTTCCAGTTAATGTCTCCGTTTGGCAGTATCAAGCCTGCAACAGGAAGACGGCAGGAAGACGTGAGAGGTCCTCTAGGGTCTCAGAAAGTGCCACGTCAGCCGCCCCCCAGGCCTGGCAGGCGCTCCCCTGGGCACCTACCTTTGGATCTGGATCAAGTTCAAATGCCTAGCACGAGTCCAGAGTTCCCTGGCTCAGCTGGACAGAGTTGCCCTCTCCACGGGCAACGCTCATCTCTATTCTAAAACACCTCCCAGCGCAGGAGCACTTAGATGATGTCACTGTAAGGGCGCGGTGGTGCACACCTGTCATCCCAGCAGCTGGGGAGGCTGAGGCAGGAGGATCACAAGGTCGAGGCCAGCCTCAGCAATTTAGTGGGGCCCTGAGCAATTTAGCAAGACCCTGTCTCAAAGTAACAGGAGCTGGGGATGTGGCTCCGTGGCAGAGCACCCCCTGGTGCTCTGATAGTCTTCTACGGAGAGCACTCTTCAAGAGAGCCTCTAAAATGCCACCGAGATTCCAAGGGACCCTTCACTCCAGGACATGTCCCAGCACAGCACCGTGCCCTGGTGCCCGGGGTCCGCGGCTGAACCCCTCTCTTAATCCTAACCTGGGAAGCTTCACGGATGAGGGGACCTGTTATACTGTTCCTCATTCATAAAGTGGGGTGACGATGGGCGCACCCCAAACCAACAAAAGCAAAACCAGCCCCTGTGCACTGAGCCACGCCTGGTGACCACGGGGTCCTCTGAGGGTCTCCTGCAGCCGCCCTGCCTACGCCAGCTGACACCATTTCTGGGTTTCATGGGATCCAAGTCAGGACTGCGGCCAGAGCCCCAGTGTGACCCCATCTCCCCACTTCTCCCCACTTTTCAGGGACCTGGGGGCTGAACGGGTACAAATGCTGCCCCCTGGAGGCTCAGTCTGATAAGACACCTGCGCCCAGACCCTGAGAGCGAGCTTGGTGACATTAAGGATCACAGCCAGGCCTGCAGACGCTCCTATCATTAGAGGGCGGGAGCAGGACAGGGCAGGGGCTCACAGCCGGGGGTACATGTTTTAAACCCCCCCAGGAGAGCCCAACAAAGCCTGGTCCGTGGCCTCCGGAGTCTTCATGGATCAACAAAATCTGCTCAACTCATTTGGAACTAAAGGCAGACACAGCACTGGAGGTGACAGAGCTCCGACTCAAGTTACCCCGTGGCTGTCCTCCCTCCTCAGGACACGGACACTTTGCGTGAGAGCTGTCCCTGCCACTGTCCCCGACAGGGTGCCACATAGACATCCTGGGCTTTAATCTGAGGAACAAAGATTCCCACCCAGCACTATCTACACTTGCGACAGCATCTGAACCCCTCCCACCAGGACCCCCCCACTCCAGGGTCAGCTGCCAGCTCTTGGGTCCTATTTGTCACCAATTCACACCACAAGTCCTGTTAGTGCCCAGCATGAATGTCAGAAAGGGTTTGGGCTTTTTATTGTTGTTATTTTCAGAAGTGGGTTTTGGTGGGCAAACTGGGCGCTACTGACTGGTGAACTGGCTAAGTTTTCTGTCTCAGTCCAACACCCAAAGCCTTGGAGTGGACCCAGCTGGCCCACGCCTGTCATCCCAGCAGCTGGGGAGGCTGAGGCAAGAGGATCGCAAGTTGGAGGCCAGCCTCAGCAGAAGTGAGGCCCTAAGTCACTCAGTGAGACCCTGTCTCTAGATAAAATAAAAAATAGGGCTGGGGAGGGGGCTCGGTGGTCAAGCACCCCTGGGTTCAATCCCTGGTACCAAAAAAAAAAAAGATTGACATCCTAGGCCCAGTCATCACTGTCAATGGCTCTAACAGGTGAGCTGAATCCTGCTGCTGGAAGCTGCCCGTCTGTAAGTGATCCTTCCACGCCAGGTGCTTGCTGGAGCACTTCACAGGGGACAGCGGGGACTGCAGCAGCCTCACAGGACAATTCCCACAACTGCTTGCTGATAAGGTTGGCAGAGTGCAATGTGGTCACTTGACAGAGCACACAGATCCCTGTCACCTCTCCCTACCTGCAACTGCTGGAATCCGACGTCCACCCCTGAGACGTCATCCATCGGCCACCTAGGCCAGAGCCAAACCCCAGGAGGGCAGAGGCAGGATGCGCTGCCTGCAAAGCTGATCCAGGCCCACATGGCACCTTCACCCCAGCCTCGGCTCGGACCAGGTGGGAAAGGAAGTGTCCACACTGAGCCTCAGCCCAGGAGGTGCCTGTGGGTGGCCAAAAGCCCCCGTCACTCACCGTGTTCCTCATATGGATCATTGGGGTCATCGGCCACCAACTCTGCATTGCTGGGAGTTTCATGGTCTTCTTTGGTCACAAATATGATGCGATCTTTCCCTGGTGTTAGGACACAAGAGGAGGAAAATGTTTCACTCAAGAGAAGCGACTGCACTGGGTGCCCCTAAGAGCCACTCAAACCCCTGCCGGGGGACCTTCAACCTGGAGCACATCACTCACTCTGGGGAAGATCCAGCAGCCACTCGAACCAAGACCAGGAGCGCGACACAATCCCACTGGGATCGGGGTGCAGGGAGACACACCGCACCTTGCAAAGCCAGGGGACACAGGCCCCAAACCCAGACAGATGTGATGGCGCGAGTCTCCAACTGTGCCAACAGTAACCGGCACACGCCTCCCTCGCCACCAAGAAGGACTGCAGACCAGGACCCTCAGGAACCCAGACAGGACAGCGCCTGTGAACTCCAGGGCTCCGCCCAGTGTCCCCCAACCTTGGCCATGCCCCCACCCACCCTGCTGGCCCACAGCGCCAGAGAAGCCACCTGATGGGAAAGGACACCTGAACCTGCCACCGAAGGCTGACACACAGGTGGCCTGAGCACACCAGGGTCAAGACACTTGTGGGCTATTTCCCAGCAAGCGCAGTGCTGGGGACAGGAGCGATCCAGAGTGCTGGTGTGTTTGACGTCAGTGGCCAGCACGGGAGCCAGGCTTCAACCCTCATTCAGGGTCAGAATCCTGGCCTGGCTCTGATGCCGAGGTCCCCAGGTCTCCAGCCAAGCCAGGGCCACACTGTGAGCTCCTCCTAATGGAGGGCGGTGAGCACAGACAGGGGCAGGGACCCACCAGACAGGGACAGAGACAGCAGGCCTTCCAGTGACCCCGATACAGCACAGCCTCATCAGCACCCGACCCACTGAGGACAGGGGAAATCCCAGGCCCAGAGGGAGGTGACGGCTCGAGATGACCAGGGGACACCCAGCTCCCTGCTCCTCTCTGCGACTCCTGGCTGCGCCAACAGCACCCCACCCTCCCCAAATCTCTAGCCACTGGTGACCCCAGCAGAGACGGCAGCCATTTCCCCTGTGCGTGGGAGCACCTTGTCCCCAGCGCTGCCTGGTGGGTCATCCATTGTCCTGCGGTCCCCAAGGGCAGGCTGGCTTGGTCCATTTCTGGTCCTGGGCGTCAGCTGGTCTCTCCACCCACCCCACCCTGAGAGAGGGACAGCAGCACCTTGTCCTGGTCGCGCACTGCCTGGCCTCGCTGAGTTTCTGTCCCACCCTGGTCTTGCTTGTCTTGGGGGACAGGAGGGTCTTCAGGCGGGCTGGCTGGACCTGGCCAGGTGGGGATGGCTGCCAGCGAGGCCGGACGACCTCCAGCTTTATTATAATCCATGAACACCCCCCTGTTAACCTGGCCCCCCTCATTCCTTTAGCCCTCTATCTGCAGCCTCCTCCCACAGGGTGCTAACACATTGGAGGGTTTACTTCCCACTTCTCCTCCTTCACCAAGAATAAAAGTCTCCTTTGGCTGGAGCAGTGCACACGCCTGTCATCCCAGCAACTTGGGAGGCTGAGGCAGGAGGATCGCGAGTTCAAGGCCAGCCTCAGCAACAGTGAGGCTCTAAGCAACTCAGGGAGACCCTGTCTCTAAATAAAGCACAACTAGGGCTAGGGAGGGGGCTCGGTGGTCAAGCACCCCTGAGTTCAATCCCTGGTACCAAAAAAAAAAAAAAAAAACCTCCCCTCTGCTCCCCAACTGCAGCTCAGTCTTCTTACTGGTTCCCCAGTTTTGAAAGAGAAAAGGACCCCCTTTCAGGCTTAAAGACTGTACAACTTTATGGGGCTGACCTGAGGCTCTGGGTAGTGACCTGCCCAGGCTCCCGGGGCTGGGAGCTCCAAAGTCCACGTGGATCCTGCCCAGACACCACGATCCCCTCCCCCAGCAGGCCCAGTCCTGAGGGCTGACCGCGGCCTGGCACCACCGGGCACTGCCTGCCGGGGCTCTGAAGCCCAACCCCTGCCCCTGCTGAGAATGCAGTGAAAAGCTTGCTGAGTGAACAAGGAGGATCCTTCTAGAAAATTCTAGAAAAAGTACAAGGCCAAATTTTGCAGCCCTACTGACTACCCACCAGATCCCAGGACAGCTGGGCTGATGGGACCCTCGGCTGAGGCCACAGGAGGTACGTAGTGCTTTAAAAGCCTTCTCCAGGGCTGGCGCAGTGGTGCTCACTGTCAACCCAGCTGCTCGGGAGGCGGAGGCCAGGTAGAGGCCAGGTGGAGGCCAGGTGGAGGCCAGCCTGAGCAGCTCAGACCCCGTCACGAAACAGAACTAAAAAAAAAAAAAAAAAATGGTAGCTGGGGCCTCCTTCAGCCAGGCGTAGTGGCACAGGCCTGGGATCCCCATGACCCAGGAGCCTAAGGAAGGACAATCACAACTGGAGGCCAGCCTGAGCCACTCAGCAAGACGCTGTCTCAGAATAAAAAGGGCAGGGCGTAGCTCAGCGGGACAGCACCGGGGTCAATCCCAGTGCAGGGCGGGGGAATGCGTCTTCAGGCTACCTCCAAAAGTGTCCCTCAGCCTGCAGACAGGGGGCTCTCTGGAGGGTGAAAGCCAAAGTCTGGTGACACGTGTATGAGGACAAATCAGGGGACACAAGGACAGTCCAGTGTGCTCTCCTCCCCACTCACACCTGCGCAGGGTCTCCAGGACCAGGTGGGCAGTGCAGGCGAGCCTCTCTGTGACATGGCCTGGGACCTGCACCCGCCTGGGTTTTGCCCGCTGAAGCCGTCTGGGCCTCAACACTTCGTGTGTCCTTCTGCCCGGGGAGGATGTGAACCTGGCCAGGCCCTGTCAGCGCGCCCGGTAACCCTGGCAACGGCCGCCTGCAGCTGTGCTGCACAGGAGAGCGGGCGCCCACCTCACAGCTGGGCTCTGGCAATTTTGTTGACCGAGATCTGATGCAGAGGCCCAAAAGGTCCAAACGCGGTCACGTTCTGGAAGCATCTGTGGAGTCTGGCCTCCCCCAAAAGAGCTGAGTCAAGCTGCCTGGCATGTCTGTGCTTCTCAGGGGACAGGGACACACAGTGGAAGAGGGCTCACCAGCCCAGCACAATGCAAGGATGACCCCTGTCCCTCCCCAGGGGCGAGGCGTCCTGTGCACCCCTGATACCCCATCGCTCAGACTGTGGGGGCACAGCAGTGACAGCTGATCCCTACAGGCCTGCACCCCATGCAAAGTGCTCCTCATCAGGACGTCCCCTGTCCTCCCACCAACAGGGGCAGATCGTCTTCGCCCAGAGGAGCTCAGCTAGCACGTGCCCAGGCCCAGGGACAGCGCTCGCCCAGCAGTGCCAGGCCCGAGTGGCAACCTCAGCACCATCAAGAAGAGCAAAACTGAAATGTGCTGCAAAGTCAGCGCCACCAACTCTTCAACAGACCCGCCTGAGGACGGAGCTAGAGTCACAGATGGTCACTGGTCAGGTAACCAGCCAGGCCAGGGCTCCACGAGCTCTCTCGGGACCTCCCTGGAGAAATACAATATTCCAAGCCTCGAGTTCATTTCCAAGGTGAGAGGACCACGCCGAACCAAAGAGGAATCTGTGTCTCCAGGTCGTGGCTAAGCACAGGACACCCTGCGGCGCACAGTGACATCGGGACCCCGAGCACCCGAGGGCTGCAGCGCCCGTCGGCTCCAGCCCTGCCGGCCTCCTTGTCACAGGAACATTCTGGGTCTCAGAGAACAGGTGCCACCAGCAGTCCTGCCTCCCGCCCGCCCCCCCCCCCCCGCTCAGTGAGAATCAAGAAACGGGTTAGACAGAGGGAGTGAAGGGCCCCTGCCCTCTCCAGAAATGCCACTCAGGGGACAATGGCATCAACTGGCAAGGACACAGGAGACCAGGAGAGTCCCGGGCAAACCAGAGGCCTCAGGAAAGATCTGGAAGTGGAAGCCGTCCTCCCTCCACCCTGCGCCCATCCCCGAAGCCAAAATGCGCTGCCATCAAGGAGGAGGCCCACGGGTGGGATCCCACCAGGGCAAGGTCCCCGACCAAGATCTTAGGGGAGGATGCAGGGACAAAACCTTCCAGAAAGAAATGTCCCCGCCATGGGAAAGCCCAAGGCACCAGGTCAGGACTGAAAGTGTTGACCAAGCCCCTGCCCAGCCTCTCACAACACTGTCTCCGTGTCACCTACCAGGGTTTGTGACCGCCATCACCTGGTAATGTGGTCACCCAACCTTTTCCACCGTGCCACCCAAGGAGGCACAGAGACAGTTACTTTCCTCGCTACCCGTGCCCAGTGGCTGGCACACCACAGGCGCTCAATAAATGTTTGTACACTGAACAGGAGAAGGCAGGTTCTGCGTTAGCAGGAGTGGGCAGCCCAAGGCCAGGGAGCCCACGCTAGGTGGCCTTCAATGCCAAGCCGCGGCCTTCAACCTGAAGGCTGGGGAGCCTCCCAATAACTGTGCACAAGCCACGACTCACTGAAGACAGAGGGCAGGCACGGGTCATCGCATCAAGATCTAAGTGCGGTGGCACACAGGAGTGACACACACCTGTAATCCCCAGGGCTTGGAGGCTGAGTGTGAGGACGGCCAGAGGCCTGAGCCCAGGCAACTCCACTGTAAAACTCCAGTTGGGAACCTACAGTGTCCCCAGGCACCCACAGAGGCTCCCGTGTGGCCTCAGACAGTCACCTCCCCTCCCCTGATAAACAGGGTGAAGCCCTGGCGGGCTGTCGTGGCCTGGTAAGAGGGAAAGGCCAGAAGACCAGGGTGGAGACCACCAGGCCAGGTGATCTGACCCAGGGTGAATGATCTAACAGACAAACCCGGTGGGAGCTGGTAAGGACTGAAACGGGGGTCAAAAGCCCCCAAATTCAGTATAAATGATAGAGCCAATGAGCAGCCGGAACAAGGATGCACCCAGCTGGAGGGCCCTGAGGACCTGACGTCCCATCACTTGTCATCAGTGATCCTCTGCATGATCCTCATGGCTCTCAAACTCTACAGCCTGTCTGGACCCTGGTGAGAGCCCCAACTCCTCCCCAGGACCCTCTCCTCCACGGGTCGTCCACTCCACACCAGGAAAAGCCTGTCTTGGTCTGGACCTGGTCACCGAGGCCTGAGTGCGTGTGCATCTCCTGGACTTAAAGCCTAAGGCTGAGACTTTTGAACTCAGCATGCAGAGGGAAGGTCTGTCACCAGCCTGTCATGATTAAGTGGGCTTTGCAGAGCTAGAATTAATCCAGAATTGCTTGCTGTGAATGCATTATGTCTATGGCAGTGCCTGGCATTAAGGATTGTCATTTTCTTGATTAAGAACCTATAGAGTGAAATTGTATAGAGTAATTTGAGTGAATAAAGCATCGAAAGGGGCAGAAGCGCGTGGCCATTCTTTATTTCTCCCCTCGACTGCACACATTGCAATTTTGCCGCCTCAACACACTGAGGCAGGAGGATCGCAAGTTCAAAGCCAACCTCAGCAAAGCTAGATCCTAGGCAGCTCAGGGAGACCCTGTCTCTAAATAAAATACAAAATGGGGCTGAGGACGGGGATCAGTGCTTGAGTGCCCCAGAGTTCAATTCCTGGTGTCCCCCACCCCTACCCCCCAAAAAAGATCTGAGCACCTATTATAAGGTGCTAGCTCTCAGGTTGGCGGGAGAAAACACACAAGACAAAAAATAAGGTAATTTCAGAAAATTTAGAATGTGAAAGTCACAAAGGGTCAAGGAAGGCCCCTGTTTCAATCCTTACCAGCTACCACCAGATTTCTCCACAACATCATTTACCCTGGGGTCAGGTCATCTGGTTGGGTGGTCTCCCCCCGTGGGAGCTGATCTTACAGGACAAGGAGTCAGCAACAGGGGGTGGGAGGAAGGACACAGTTGGCTAAGGCAATAAACCCAGAGGGGAGAGCGGCCAGGCAGGGGACAGAAGAGGCTGGAGGGACACGCAGCAGGTTGGAAAGGAAGGCTTTAGATAGGAAGGGGTTTGAGATCATTTTCCTAAACCCCAGAATCAACGGATTTTTTAAAGGATCAAGAAACGTTAATCCCTAGTTGAGTTTTGATTCTCTCCATGGGTGTCTCAGGCACCCATCACCCGCCTTCTCTGGCCCCGAGAATGTGCCTGGTGACCTCTGCGGAATGAATGGAGCCCAGCCTCTCCACCTCCCAGGCTGGACTCAGGACTGGAGGAGGGGTTAGGTGGCAGCTCAGGTGACCACAGGCCTTACCATAGAGGGGGCTTCTTCTGAGCCACCGGGTACAGGTGGAAACAGAGAGGAAGTGAGGGACCGGGGAACACTCTGAGGAGGGCCAAGGGATACTTCCTCCCAGCAGAGAGGTCCAAACCGCAAACTGGGTTGAACAATGCGGTTCTAGAACCAGATTGCCAGGTCTGGGAGTCCTCCAGCTCTGTGGTTCTGCTCAAGCCACCTGTTTTAGTTTTACTGCTCCATAAAATATGGGCGGTATAACAGAGCCTGAATTATCAAGGTCGCTGAGAGGTCAATGAGATCAGACTTATAAAGCGTAAATGGCGCCTGATATGCAGCTGGAGCTCAATAAATGCTCCCACTGCTGCCACTACTCCAGCACTGCACGGTCTGGCCCACGAGGCAACTTTCCAGGACAGTTAAAAAAAAAAAAAAAAAAAAAAAAGGTGTGTGCAGCCCGGCGCAGAGGCAAGGCGGCTGGGGAGGCTGAGGCAGGAGGATCGCGAGTTGGAGGCCAGCCTCAGCAATTTTTAGTGAGCAACTAAGCAGCTCAGGGAGACCCTGTCTCTAAATAAAACAGAAAAGGGGCTGGGGTCGGGGCTCAGGGGTGAGCACCCCCGGGTTCAGTCCCTGAACCGTACAAACGGGACCACGTGGGTGCTCCCAGGGGCGACCGCCACGCGTCCCCGGCAGGTCCCGTTACCGGATGCGACCGCCCCGCCGCCCGTTTGGGGACCTCCCACGTGCAGGCCCCTCTGGGGTCCGGGTTCGAGCTTCACCGTGACCTTGGGCCAGCCCCGTGTCCCCCTCGGGGCTCGATTTGGTCGACTTTACTCCGGGGTTGGACGACCCCGCCGCCCCGCCCGCCCCCGAGGGTCCCCTGGAGGGCACATGCGCGTCGCCTCGGTGGCCCGCGCCGGCCGCGGGGTCGCGGGGCGCCGGGGCCTGCGGGGACTGAGTGGCCCGCGCGTCGCCCCCGGGCCTCCCGGGCGGTCTCCATGGCAGCGCGCCCTGCCTACCTTCCTGCCGGCAGTAGGCCATGGCGGCGGGCCTGGCGCTCGGCCCCTCGCGAGCGGCGGCGGCGGCGGCGGCTCCTACCCCTTCACGCCGTGACCTCGCTCTCCTCGGGCAGGGCGGGCGGCTCTGAGGCCCGCGCGGACCCGCCCCCTCCAGGCCTGCCCGCCGCGCGCCTGCCTCCGCGCCTTCCCAGCCGCAGCCCGGCCGCCTCAGCCGGGAACTACACTTCCCGGCAGGCCGCGCTCCCCCTCGGCAGCAGGAACTACATTTCCCAGAAATCTTGCAGCGCGCAGGCGCACCGGTGAGGCACGGCGCGGGTCGAAATTTTTGTGGCGAAAGCGCCTGACCCTGGACTACAGTTTCCAGAAGGCCTTGCGGCGCGCAAGCGCAGGAAAGTTGGGTCCCCGCGGGGCGGTAACTCCGTAGCAAGTTCATCCTGATCTGGGACTCCGCGCGGGTGTCTTTTTTTGCAGCTCTGGGACAGGCGGGAGGCCACCAGATCCCGCGCTCCGGTGGTCATTCCAGCTGGGCAGAGCGAGGCGGCGGCGGAGAGCCGGGTCCCACCATGGCCGCGAATGTGAGTGTCTCCGGGTCGCCCGGCCACACCCAGGCTGCCCCATCACCGGGCCGCCGCAGGTCCCCTCCGCGATCCGACTCCCGCTGTCCCTCTGCACGTCGGTGTCGGCGCCCCCCGTGCAGCGCCTCCGGCTCCTCGGTCCGCAGTCCTCGGCCGACCCCTTCCCCACTCGGGCCCCTCGGGAGGCCTCGCCCCCGCATGCCCAGCTCCTGGACCTTGGGTCCTGAATGTCGTGGGATCTGGGAGCCAGACGGGCCCTGGGGGGCTGAGCCCGTCCATCCGGAGCGCGGGGAGGCCGGTCCTGCCGGTGGAGCTGTCCAGCGTGGGCTGCGGGGCCGTCCGCGCCCTCGGGGGTCTGTGCGCCGAGCCCGCCGGCTGCAGGGGAGCCGGCCTGGGTCCCCTGGGCCCGTCCTCCTGCGCGCGATCGGGTCCCCTCCTTCCCCGTGCCCCGTCCTCCTGGGGAACTTTCTCTCCATTGGGCTCGGGCAGCACCGCCCACGGGGTGCGGGCTGAGGAGCCGTGAGTCACCCGCCTTCTCTGTGAAAGTGCTTTGGAGCCAGGTTGGGAGCCCGCCAGCCCCAGACACGCCCTCCCCCGGCCTGTTAGGCTCCCTTTCCAGGTCCCTCCTCTGTCCCCAAGCCTCTTAGCTGCCTCCCTCCCCTCCTGAGAGGCCACGGTTTGTGTCACCCTCTGCCCTGGCACGCTCTGCCTGGTGTCCCCGGGGGAAGAGGGGTGTTGAAAGTCCCCAGAGGTGGTCCACGAGGAGTAGGGTAGGGTGGCCTCCAAGCCACCTCATGGTCACCACCTCCCCATAGTTTACAGATGGGAGTTTCCCTGGCAGAAGGCACCTGCCCAGGGTCTGGCCGCAGCATGGGAAGGTGTCAAAAGGGACAGAGGGGATCAAGAGACCTGGGTGGGGAGGAATCCAGACCCTTCCACTGTGCCTACTGTCTCTGGGTTTGTCTCCTCCTGGGATCCCTAACTGTGACATTGAGGGAGGGCTGTTAGCTTCTGGCACCAATGGCCATGGCCTTAGTGGGCAGAGAGCATCGTGGGTATGTTGGGATCTGACCCCTCAGTGAACACCCTCTGCTGCCCAGCCCTGTCAGCTCATCCAGTAGCTGGGGACACGTTCATGGGGCCACCAGGCCTCACCAGGTGAGGAAGAGACCTGAAGACAGCAAGGTGGAGCAGGCAGGCAACTGAATTCCGCCTAACAGCAGCCTGTGATGAGTACATTTTTTCCATCAAGTGAGCAAACAGGGTCAGAGAGGCAGAGCAACTTACCTGGGGTTGTACAGCAATTGATTGGCAAAGCTGGAATTCTTTTTTTTTCTAATATATTTTCAATATATTAAATATATATTTTAATGTTTTATATTATTTATATTTTATGTTTTATATTTTATATACTTTTAATAATCTTATATATTTTTTAGTTGTAGGTGGCACAATATCTTTATTGTATTTATTTTTATGTGGTGCTGAGGATCGAACCCAGGGCCTCACACACACTAGGGGAGCAGTCTACCACTGAGCCACAAGCCCAGCCCTGAAGCTGGGATTCTAACCGAGTATCTAGGAGTGGGATTGCTGGATCAAAGGGAAAATATGTGTGTAACTTCCAAGCTATTTGACAAAGAGATTGTTAGAAATGTTTTTTTTTGGTACCAGGGACTGAACCCAGAGGTGCTTAACCACTAAGCCACACCCCCAGCCCTTTTGATTTTTCTTTTTTTTGCAACAAGGTCTTGCTAAGTCACTGAGGCTGGCCTCAACGTTATGATCCTCCTGCCTTGGCCTCCTGAGTCGTGGGATGACAGGAATGCACCACCATGTGGGGCTAGAAATGCATTTTTAATTAAATTCAGTAACGAGGAGCTGGGCTTTTGGAGGGGCATGGTTCCTCTGGGGTCTGAAGAGCGGTAGATAGCCCTGTTGGTGGCAGTCAGGTCATGGCCACCAACAATACTAGGAGGTCAAGTGAGAGAGGGGGTCCAGGGCTGGAGTCCACCTTCCCCTGGGGTACCCAGGCGGGCTCCCTGGAGGAGGGGGATCTTGGAGGCAGACCCTGGAGGACGGGCATCCCCAGCAGGGGGTCTGGGGGGCAGCGTCAGGGATGTGGAGGCTGGGAGTGGTTCTGGGGAGCAGCTGGGGCTGGGCTGTGGACGCCTGTGGGGAGAGGAGGGGCCAGGCATGTCTGGGCAGGATCCAGCTCCCACTCCAGGGCCAGTGGATCAGGCCTTGCCCAGCCAATCACAGCACAGGGTCTGGGTGAGTTCCCACTCCGTCACCCAGGGCCAGGGTCCTTGGCCAAATGATCTGAACCCTCCATGCCCCCCGTCTTCACTGGTTAAATGGGGGTAAGAGTCCAATGTGCAGGACGGGCTGAGAGCCCCAGGGTACAGTATCGGTGGCTCGGTGCCTTGGCGAGGTAGAGCCATGTGGGCGTTAGCTGGCAGGAGTGTTATCAGATGTCCCCATAAATCACACAGGGCCACCTCCCAAGCTACAGGTGAGCTGACGGACTGGCCCTGGGACCCCTCAGACCCCAGGATCTGTCATCCACACCCACTGATGGTCACTGAAGAGCTCTGCGGCTTTACTATATATGATCAAACTCACTCTCATGGAATTTGTGCTCAATAAACACATTTTGGGTAGCAAGATCCCGTGTATTTTTAAAGGCTGATTTGCATTCTGATTTCTTTTCTGGTTTTCCCTTCAGTACTCCAACACAGGCAGCAGAAAGGAACATGTCAAGATCACCTCTGACCCCCAGCCAGGCTTCCTGGAGCGGCTGAGCGAGACTTCGGGGGGAATGTTCGTGGGGCTCATGACCTTCCTCCTGTCCTTCTACTTAATTTTCACCAATGAGGTAAAATGTCTCGTGTCCCCGTGGGCACAGCGTATCAGGGAACAGGGACTATAAATCCAGAGGCTGCATTTGGCAATAAAGGACCTCGATTTTTATAAAAGAGAAAGAATAATACTGAAGGAATCAAAATTCATTTTGTGGTGACCTACCTCACCCTGGGGTAGGCACGACTCCTGAAAAGCCTGCTTCAGGCATGGTTGGATCCAGGTGTTCGTGCGGGGTCACCCGACCCTCTGTTCCTTCAGCCCTTCCCTGTGTTTCTCGCTGTGGCATCTCTCTTGGGCAGGGCCCTCCTTTGGCAGGCAGAGGTGGCTCAGCAGTTCCAGTTTCACGTCCAAGTAGCTCAGAGATCCTGGAGAAAGAAAAAAAAAAAAAAAGGAACCAAGTCTTTCTAAAGCAATTTTGCAGAAGTTGCAGAAGGATCTCTGAGTCCGGGTTTGGGTCTCAGGCCTTTGAGCCAGTGCCTGAGGCCAGGGTCAGAAAGGCCTGTGGGGACCACGGGGACCAGGAGAGGGGTGGAGAAAGGGGAGGGGGAGGCCAGGCAGACAGGGAGGCCACTGTGCCCACGTGAGGCCGACAGCCGGGGCTGATGGGAACCCGCGGGTGGCGGGAAGACGGGAGCCTGGGCGCGCAGGGCCTGGCCCAGTCCCGCTGCCTCAGCCCCAGCAGGGAAGTGGGGAGACCGGTGTGAAGGCAGCGGCCTCGGGTCGCCCTGAGGTGACGTCCCCTGCCCTCCCCTGCAGGGCCGGGCGCTGAAGACGGCCACCTCGCTGGCGGAGGGGCTCTCCCTTGTGGTGTCCCCCGAGAGCATCCACATGGTGGCCCCAGAGAACGAGGGGAGGCTGGTGCACATCGTGGGGGCCCTGCGCACATCCAAGGTAGGACCTGCCGCAGGCTCTGGGGTGGGTCCTGGAGGGTGACAGACACCGGGGTGACCCCCAACGCCACCTCTCGGCCGCGGAGTGCACTCGTGGCCTGGGACTGGGCTGACCTCTTGGCACAGTGCCTGGCACGTGGTAGGAAGGTCACACACAGGTGCTCTCGCGGTGACAGTCCACGTGGAATGCAACAACTCTGGATGGCAGAGCTCTGCTGTCGTAGATATGATTTTTTTTTGTACTGGGGATTGAACCCAGGGTCACATAACCACTGAGCCCCCTCCCCAGCCCTTTCTGTTTGGAGACAGGGCCTCCCTAAGTTGCTGAGGCTGGCCTCGACCTTGCCATCCTCCTGCCTCAGCCTCCAAAGTCACTGGGGTTACAGACGTGCACCGCCCACACCAGCTGTGCTGTTATTTGGCATGACGCAGTGGGGCCTGCAGCCTGACCTTGTACTCTGAGTCAGCATCATGGGCATTAAGGGTTAAGAACTGGGGACACCCAGGCACGGCGGTGCACCCTGTAATCCCAGCAGTTTGGAGGCTGAGGGAGGAGGATTGTGAACTCAAAGCCAGCTAATTCAGCAACTTAGCAAGGCCCTCAGCAACTCACTGAGACCCTGTCTCTAAATTAAAAAAAACACAAAATAGGCTGGGGAGGGGGCTCAGTGGCTGAGCGCCCCCAAGTTCAACCCCTGGTATCCCCCCAAAAATATCCAAGAGTTAAGAACTGGACAGGCAGCTCCACTTGACGCCCCCACCTTGTCCCCGTTGTCCACCTCCTTCCAGCCCAGCCTCCCTGAGCCAGGGTTTCTGGGGGGATGTGAGGGCCACCTGTATTTTCTGGTCCCTTTGACTCTCTTCTGAAAAGCTCTTGTCTGATCCAAACTACGGAGTCCACCTTCCGGCCGTGAAACTGCGCAGACACGTGGAGATGTACCAGTGGGTGGAGACGGAGGAGTCCAGGTGAGGAGCCCGGTAAAGGAGGTGCAGGCACCTAGAGAAAATGCAGCGGCTTTTGTTTTTTAGGGGTACCGGGGATTCAACCCAGGGCCCTCGACCCGTGAGCCCCGTCCCCAGCCCTATTTTGCATTTTATTTAGAGTCAGGGTCTCACTGAGTTGCTTAGGGCCTCCCTTTGGCTGAGGCTGGCCTCCAACCGGTGATCCTCCTGCCTCGGCCTCCTGAGCCGCTGGGATGACAGGCGTGGGCACTGCGCCCACCAGGCCTTTCATTTTGAAGCCTCTGAAATTCAAAGTATAGACTCTTCGTACCAGAAAAATATCAGATTATCCCAAAGTTAAAAGCCGCTGATCTTCCGTTTGGGGATGGCCAACACCCCCCGCAGAGTGGCTCCAAAATGAAAGGGGACTGAGCAGCTCCCTCCCAGGGACATCCCAGGGAGCGCACGTTGGGGATGTTCCTGGATCCAGGTCTCCAATGACGCTGGCACCTTGTGGCCCCCTGTTCCAGCCTCTGTGCCCACTTTCCCTTCCTTGGGCTCCACCTTGGCCCCTGTGGTAGCAGAGGTCACCTTCCCGCTGACAGCCTGTCGGGAGTCCAGGGCGTGATGGCACCGGCCAGGTGGGCTCAGTCCCCCTGAGCTACTGCGCAGCGGGGTGTGAGGGGACGGTGGCCCGTGGGCCCTGCCCAGGGCTGTCCTGACCAGAGACTGCGGCCATCCATGGAGGGAGCTGGCCCTGTGCCCCGAGCAGGCCCGGCTCTGGCTGGGACCCACCAACCCTCTCCTTCCCTTGGGGACTGTAGCCCTATGGCCCTGGGGGTGCCCGGATCCTGGGGGGTCTCAGGTGACAGGGCTGAGGTGGCCCCTGTGCTTCTCTGCAGGGAGTACACGGAGGACGGGCAGACGAAGACGGAGACGAGGTACTCCTACAGTGAGTACCGCCCGGCCACCAAGGGCCCTGCTGGCCGCATCCCCCGTCCACTGTCCCCAGCCCGTGGCAGGACGGGACCCGTGGGTGGAGCTGGGGACAGGCACAGCACTGAGCCCAGGAGTCCTCCCCTCTGGGGGCGCCAGGAGCTGTCCCCTGACCTCTGGTGTCACAGGGTCAGGGTCTGCGGGCCTCGGCCATCGGGGCCATGGGTACGGCTGAGCTGTCCCCTCTCCCTGAGCAGACACCGAGTGGCGGTCAGAAGTCGTCAGCAGCAGAAACTTCGACCGAGAGATCGGCCACAAGAACCCCAGGTGAGCGCGGCCGGGGCCTGGCCAGCCTCAGTTTCCCCATCTGAGCAATGGGAGCGGGCTTTCTGCCCCGGGGGTCAAAGAGGACATGGGACATGTTAGGGACCAGGACACGGACGAGTCACCCTCGGGAGGCCTGACCAAAGGGCGGGAAGGGACGGGCATGGACAGACCAAGGGAGGACCCTGTTGGTGGTCACCTCTGGAGGACTGTCAGGAAGGGCCTCTGGGGCAGAGGCTGGTGACCTGGTGTCCACAGAGGGGGGTCAGCTCAGCCGCACAGGGTGGTGGAGCCCGCGTGTCCCTCGAGCGCCACTAGGGCCTGGGCCGTGGGCCACCGTGGTCAGGGCTACGCCAGGAAGATGGCGGGAAGGGGTCAGTGAGGGGTGCGAGTCCAGGGAAGCCCCCGCCACAGCTCAGTGGGCCACCAGAGGTCTGGGGACAGGGACAGAGTGAGGGGGCAGGAGCCCTGGGGACGGCCGAGGAAGACGTCTGTCCTGCCTGGTCTCTGGACTCTCAGGAGCCCCCTGGGTGGGACCTGCCAAGCCCAGACCACGTAGGGTCCCACGCAGCTGCCCTCCTGGTCCCTGTCACCAACGTCCCTGTCCCCACAGCGCGATGGCAGTGGAGTCGTTCACGGCGACGGCCCCTTTTGTCCAGATCGGCAGGTTCTTCCTCTCGGCAGGTAAGTCCCAGCCCTGGTGACCAGCTGGTGCCAGCCCCAGGCCCTGTCCTGTCCTCGTGGCCACTCCCAGGGGCAGCAGTCCCTGGCACCCGGCCCTCGGGGGTGGAGGCCGGGAGCAGCCTGTGTCCTACTCGGGGCTGGGGCCGGAGGACAGGCGGGTCCCCAGGAGGTGGGGACTCCACGCAGCACCCGCCCCCACCCCGCCAGGTCCCAGGAAACCAGGTTGGTCCAGGGAACAGCCCAAGCTCCCTGTCCCCTCCTGTGCCACGCCCATTTGTGGTGACCAGAGGTTCTGAGGGAGCCGTCCCTCCAGCAGCCAAGAAAAACAAGGCCACTCCCTGTCCCCGCGGCTCCCTGTGGCTCCACCTGTGGGCCCCACCCGGGCACAGCCCTGTGCCAAAAGAGGATGGCGTGTCACATGCTCCCTCGGGGACTCCAGAGAGGAGCTCCCAGGGGATGAGGCCGCGCCACGGGCCACAGTAACCCCGAGACACCCCCATGGCCTAACCCAGGAGGGGACGAGATGGGCAGGGTCCAGTGTCCAAGGGAGGGGGTGCCCAGTGACCAGGCTTGGCCTCCCGCCCCGTCCACCATGTGGCTCAGCTGCTGCGCAGTGGGAAAGGGCCGGGCCACTCTCAGAGCAGGGGACACTGGCCCAGCAGGGAGAGGGGACAGAGCAGTCCTCCTGGGAAGGGGGTGACACAGGCCACCGGGAAGCTCTGGAAGAGCCCGAGTCGGGAAGGGCCTCCTGGGGGAGAGGCCAGGTGTGAGGACGCCGAGGTGCGGCTGGGTGGTGGCGCACGGAGGGCTTGGGCACCGTGGGAGGGACACCGGGGTGGCAGGTGGCAGGTCCCCACGGGGCCGGTTGCTGAGCGCGGGGCCTCTCTGTCAGGCCTCATCGACAAGATCGACAACTTCAAGCCCCTGAGCCTGGCCAAGCTGGAGGACCCCCACGTGGACATCGTTCGCCGGGGCGACTTTTTCTACCACAGTGAGAACCCCAAGTACCCGGAGGTACGGAGCAGCCTGGGCCGTGGGGACAGCGGAGACCAGGGCCTGGTGTGGTGTCCCCGCAGCCCACTCCTGCCCCAGAGGGCTCCCTGTGTTGACCCACAGCTGCGCGTGGCCAGATAGAGTCAGAGGGGACAGGGCCTCGAGGGGACAGCCCAGCCTGGGCAGAGGTGGAGGGAGGGACCCGCCAGCCAATGAAGGAGCCGAGGCCCAGCCCCAGGTGGCCACTTGCTGACGCCCTCCCGTGTCTCTCCCCCCAGGTTGGAGACCTACGCGTCTTCTTTTCCTACGCGGGACTGAGCAGCGATGACCCTGACCTGGGCCCAGCTCACGTGGTAACCTGGCCTCCCCGGGGGCGGACTCCGAGTCAGGGCGTCAGGGCCTCTCCAGGCGCAGACCCCAGGAGGATGTGGTGACCGCGTTGTCCCCCCCCCCGGGGACGCACACGCTCGCCCACACGCAGTCCCAAGCTTTGCTTTTGAGCAGCTACTGAGTTCCGTGCCTCCCTGCCACCATCCCCAGACCCCAGGCCAAGAAATGCAGGTCTAGGCCGGGCGGTGGCCCACGCCTGTCATCCTAGCCGTTCGGGAGGCTGGGGCAGGAGGATCGAGAGTTGGAGGCCAGCCTCAGTAATAGCAAGGCCCTAAGCAACGCAGGGAGACCCTGTCTCTAAATAAAATACCAAAAAGGGCTGGGGACGGGGCTCAGGGGTCGAGTGTCCCTGGGTTCAATCCCTGGTACCAAAAAAAAAAGAAGAAAGAAACATTGTCCTGGATGGTGGCCTCATCGTGTCTGACAAGAACCGTGCAGTCACAGGTGGCTTCCCCGTCCGTGGCCTTGGTTCCTGGCCCTGGGTGTGCACTCAGGAGCTCCATCCTGGCTGGCCCAGGAAGGGGCAGGAAGGACCTCTGGGCCCAGGTAGCCAAGGAGAAGGGGAAGCCACGTGACCTCGACGTGGCCTGGCTGCAGGGTGGCTCAGCTGGGGCCCGTGGCAGCCAGTCCTCCCCTGAGCTCTCAGTCCAGGACGTGCCCAGCCCTGCTCCGCCCGCCACCTGCCTCTGGCCCAGGGTCCTCCTTGGAGCTCTGAATGAAGGGGGCGGGACAGCCCAGGGGGAGTCCAGGAGGGACAGACACGCCCAGGTCCCACGCCCAGGTCCCCCCACTCACTCCCTGGTCGCCATGGAGTCCCAGAGAGAGCAAGTGTGGCGGGCAGTGGGGGTCCTCACCTTGTGCCCAGGGGCCTCTGACGCTGATTTCTTGGACTAGGTCACTGTGATCGCCAGGCAGCGAGGTGACCAGCTCGTCCCGTACTCCACCAAGTCGGGGGACACCTTGCTGCTGCTGCATCATGGAGACTTCTCGGCAGAGGTGAGTGGCCGCTGCCCCACCTGTGTGGAGGGGGAACAGGTGTGTCGGCCCCTCCTCCCTCCCAGGGGCTGTTCCAGAAACTTCCCCTGCTAGCGACCGTAGCCACTGCCATATAGCAAGAAAAAGAAATAGAAAGAACAGACACCCAGACGGACGGATAAAAAGCCACGCGGTGTTACAGGGTCGAGAGCTGCTCTGACACCTGGGCTCCTACGCAGAGACCAGTCTGCAGCCATCGAGGGCTCCCAAGGAGTGACATTTGTGCAGAGGCCACATAAAGAGGGGGGTATCAGCCCTGGAGGAACTGGGCCGTTCAGGGACTGGGATAGGAAATGGCCCCTCAGTGGGGCGCACTAGGAACAGGGGGCAGAGGCCACGCTGAGGTGCCCCTTTGAGGCCATCAGGAGGGCAACAGAGGGGTTTGAGCTGGAGTATCCGGGCCGGGTGAGTGGGGGCAAGTGCCCTGGGACAGTCCCCACAGCCATCGGCATCCCTCTCCCCGTCTGCACCAGGGAGGTCCTGCAGGAGGAAGGTGCAGGGGGTACCGAGGAGCCAGTTCTGAGCCCTAGAAGTCACCCTCTCTAGGCAGGAGTCACCGTGTGACAGCTCTTGAGGTGGTGGACACTGGGACTCTGGCTGGGACATACACTTGCCTTAAATCAGGGGCCAGAGAGGGCGAAGGCAGGAGCAGGCCGCAGGGACCACCTGGGACCCTCTGTTCCTGTTCCTGGGCCCTTGGCTCCGTCTGTCCCCTGTCCCTGTGACCCTCCTGCATGGTGGTGCCTAGCCAGGACCTGGGGAGTCAGGCTCTCCTGCAGCAGCCTGGGGAGCGGCTTCACGGTGGGGCCGCCCCTCCCAGCCTGGCACCCCGTGAGTCACCCTGGGGACTTTCTAAAATTAGGAGGCCTTGTCCAGGCCCTGTTCTCCTGCCCTGGCCACAGGCCCAGTCCCAGGCTTCCTTGGGCAGCGTCCCAGGTACCAGCGCTGCCCGCAGGGAGGAGGGTGGGGCGTGTGAGTGCGTAGGCCCACAGGGAAGGCCCTGGCCGTGGGAGGGTGTGCGGCCTCCACGCCCTGGGCCTCCTGCCTCTACCCCCACGTGGGGTCTCTGCCGAGTGGGAGAAAAGGCCCTGAGCCAAGGACACCCCAGGGCACTGAGAACAGGCCCAAAAGTCAGGAGGCCGGGACAGGAAGCGCAGGGGACCAGCCGTGTGGGCCCCAGGGAGCCACTCACCTGCCCCCGGCTCAGTGCACTGCCCGTGGGGCCTGGGGATTGTGATCGGCTCATCCTCCTCCGTCTGTCTCCTCTGTGGGAGGGGACAAGTGTTCCTGCTCCCTGGGTCACCTTGAGGAACAAGCAGTGCACTCAGGACTCATGGGAGACAGGACCGACCAGGTGGGGTGGGAACAGGGGGTTAAGAGACAGGGCCTCCCTGAGTGGCTGAGGGTCTCGCTGTTGCTGAGGCTGGCTCTGAACTCGAGATCCTCCTGCCTCAGCCTCCCGAGCCCTGGGATGACAGACATCATTATGCAGTAAATGTTACCTACTAGATTGTGACGGGGCCTGGTAGAGATCCGGGGCTCCGGGAAGGCTCTGGGGAAGTGGCATTTAAGCCAGGACGAGAAGGATGTGGATGGCCCGGCAGAGCCACCCACATGGGCCAAGGCCCAGAGGTGACAGGACACCTGACCTGGTCTTGGTGGGACCTCGGCAGGTCAAGGGCATGTGGGTGAGGGAGCAGGCCGCGGCTGCCCGCCAGGTCCCAGCTCCGGGGTGGGTGGGCGGTGGTCCCCGTTGCTGAGGTGCAGATGACAGAGTCGGGGTGCAGGCTGCGGGGCCTGAGCCCCTGTGTCACCAGGCCAGGTGCAGAGGTGCTGGGCAGCCAGCAGAGGGGCCAGGGCTGTGGCCTTACGTGGGGGCCACACGGGGGCCAAGAGGCGGAGGGAGGCCCTGGGCAGAGCGTGGCCCACAGAGGCTGCCCTGGGCGAGGGTCAGGGCGGCCATGAGACCCAGAAGGTGCAGCCTGAGATGCAGGGAGAAGGGAATGACGGGAGGGTCCCCGAAGCCAGGAGCAGGGTCCTGGGGCCAGTGGACGCCACAGGCTGAGCAGTGCCCGGTGCCTGGCTCGTGCTGTCCGTCACCACACACACGGGGGTGGCAAGGGGCACCGGAAGGGTCCCTCTGTGTCATTCCAGAGATCACGCACTGAGGCTCTGAGCCGAGAAGGGCTTATGCCTTCCAGAAAGTTCTCTCCACTGTGCCAGGTTGACGGGGGGCTCCAGAGCTCCCGAGCCTCAGGTCCAGCCCCGTGGCCCCTGCCCTGCCCGCTGGCCGGCTGGTGACCTCCCCCTGCCCTGTCCACAGGAGGCCTTCCGTAGGGAGCAGAAGAGCAACTCCATGAGGACGTGGGGGCTGCGGGCGGCCGGCTGGATGGCCATGTTCACGGGCCTCAGCCTCATGACGCGGATCCTCTACACCCTGGGTAGGTGCGGGGCCTGGGTCTCGCGGCCCCTCGGGCCACCCCCTGCCTGTCCCTCCCTGGGGCAGAGTGCAGGCCTGGGCCATGTCTGTCCCCCTGCGCTGTCCTGGAATGGACGCGAAGTCACGAGTGAGCAACGTGGTGCTTCCAGAGGGGGGACGTGGGGCCACCTCTCAGGGGCAGGTCTGGCTTCTGAGATTGAAGGTCTGGCCCCACCGTGTCCCTCTGTCCTTCGCTCCCCCCTGGGACAGCCCTGTGAGGAGGCCGGCCTCCCGGCTGAGCTGACCCAGCCTGTCTGGGGTCAGAGCTGGGAGCGCCTTCTGGGCTTGGGCCGTTGGTTTGGGAGACAGAGGTTCTCGGGGACCTCACCCCAGTGTGTCCCTGCCCAGGCTTCTCTGGCCCCCACAGGAGCCCTTCCCCGCTGGCTCTGGCTGGGGGACCCTCTCCCTCGTCCCAGACAGCAAAACCGAGGCCCCGAGAGGGGAGGCCGAGTCCTCGAGGCGCCGTGGACAGCTGACCTGGGTCCAGGAGACCCGGTTCTGTCCTGGGCACGTCAGGGAGAGCTCAGGGCCCAAGCAAAGCCGCCATCGGGGCCAGGAGTCAGGATGCACCTGTCCCCAGGCCTGCCTGCTGCCCCTCTCTGGATCTAGCTGCCCATGGTCCTGGTGACCCACAGGCAGGACCCGTGGGAGCAGGAGCCCACACCCCTCCATTCCTCAGTGACTCACCGCCTACTGGGCGTCCTGAGCAGTGGGCAGCATAGCTGGGTCCTGTCCCCTCCAGGGTCAGCGCAGTGGTGACCTGGGCCCGGGCAGTGCAAGTAGACATCCTGGTCCTGAGTCTGCAGGGAGCAGGGGTCTCACCAACCCCGCAGGGGGATGTCTGCCCGTTGGCCTCGGGTGGTCACAACGTGGAGTCCAGGTTACAGAGTTGACCGCGTCGAGTTTCCTGGTGCTGGGCAGAGCGGGTGGCTCACAGGGAGCCCTGCCACCCAGCTCAGGGCCCCAGGGCCAGGCTGCTGCGCTCCCCACACTGACTGTCCCTCTCCGCAGTGGACTGGTTTCCTGTCCTCCGGGACCTGGTCAACATCGGCCTCAAAGCTTTCGCCTTCTGCGTGGCCACCTCGCTGACCCTGCTGACCGTGGCTGCCGGCTGGCTCTTCTACCGGCCCCTCTGGGCCCTCCTCATCAGCTGCCTGGCCCTGGTGCCCATCCTCATCGCCCGCACCCGGGTGCCAGCCAAGAAACTGGAGTGAGGAGGCCCTGGCCCCGCCGACACCCGCGTGGGCTCGGGGCCCGGGTCCCCTCACCTCTGCCCGGCGCTACCCGCACTGTGGGCTCCGCTCCCCTGTCCTCTGCCACAGGGCCCCGGAGCCGTGTGCATGTTGGACTTGGGGTCCTTCTGTGCACATGTCCCCGCCCCTTGTCTTGCCAGTCTGTCGCTTTGGTGGGCAGAAGCAGCTCAGGGACAGTGACCCCGCGGGCCCTGTCCGGCTTCCTTTCCCCTTCCCTTCCCTTGGGCCTGAGACGATGTGGAGCAGCTCCACAGAGACCTGGTGACAAAGAGCTCAGCCTGGTCATTGTCCTTTCTCATCCCTGAGAACAAATGCCACGGCCCCCGTCACACCCCCCGACCCCAAAGGCATCCTGCACTGCTAGGCTGCACTGGGTGACCCGGATGACACTGAGGCCCGGGGAAGTGGGTGTGCCCCAAACCAGGTCTGCAGACAGGACTCCGCTTGGAACTTCAACAGAAACCACCAAAGAGGTCCAGGGGAAAATGGACGCTGTTGGGACTGCCATCTATTCTGTGGCTTGGGAGAATCCTCTTAGTGCCCAGACCTGCCACGGTCCAACTTAGGTCTTCCTCTGTTACTTCCCTCCTTCCTGTGTCCCCTCCTGTCCCAACAAGGAGGTGTCTAAGGTTTAAAAAAAAACAAACTCCTGGACAATCAGCCTTTCAGACTGTTACAAAAACACCCTGGACTCTGTCAGATGAGATTAATTCAGAGCAAGAAAGGTGTTAAATTGGGGGGACGGGGGTTACCTCGGGACATTGGGGAGCTTTTAGATGCTTTTGAATTAGTGTTTCAAAACTGCGCTGCCTGGTGCAGGGGTGCGCGCCTGTCATCCCAGCAGCTCTGGAGGCTGAGGCAGGAGGATCGAGACTTGGAGGCCAGCCTCAGCAACAGCGAGACCCTCAGCAACTCAGGGAGACCCTGTCTCTCAATAAAATACAAAATAGGGCTGGGGACGGGGCTCAGTGGTCGAGTGCCCCTGAGTTCAATCCTTGGTACCAAAAAAGAAAAGACATCAGTGTTTTTAGCAAAAGAATTTGTTCTCCCTCTGCAAAGACCTAGGAAGCTCAGCAGGTGGAAGGCAGCATTACTTTTCTGAAAATCCTGACATCACAAACCACCTGTTCACCTGAAGCCACTCATGAAAAGGTGGGAAGCCTCATAGTAAAGGGCTCCTCCACGGTGACCCCAGAGGACACCCGCCTCGGCCTCGGCTGCTGTCCCTGGCCTGCAGCAGCGGCTTCTAGCACCCTGTGCCTGCTGGGCTTGGCTCTGCTCATCCGACTCACCCCACTGGATCCACGTGACTTCTGACTGTCCCTTTACGCTGTGTGTCGCAACCTTCGCATCTTAACAGAGCCTTCGTCCATCTTCATCTTGGTTACAGTGACAGCTGCTCGGTCCTTGCTGAGGGTGGTTGTCTGCAACAGAATGTCCAGGGGGTTTCAGGGTCAGGACTCCTGACCCCTGTGACTCTCCTTGTTCTGAGCTACCCGGGCTGTAGATTGGGGATCCATGGTAAAGACAGAGGTGGCACCAGAGGTGACGTGTCTGCATTTAGAATTGAGACAGCTTCACTTCCACTTAGTCCATGGGCCGACTCCCTCTGTGGACCCTGGAGGATGCTCTGAAGGCGAGATGCGTGCAGTTGGCTGACACCTAAATGTGGAATCCTTGGGGTTTGGCTTGTGCCATTTCTTTCTCGTGAGTTTTAACGGTAGGCTTTAGGATGGTTCCTAAATAGCAAAACAATGTTAAAATAATTGGGAAGCTTTGGGAAAACACCACGGAATTTGTATTATCTTTGTATTTTTGATAAAATCTGTGAAATAAATGTCTGAATCTTTTGCTGTTACCCTATTTTTGGTTTTGAAGTTGGTGCCTCCTTTTCAATGGTGATTAGTTTGCATTCTTGCAAACAATCCAACCACCAAGTTTTACTGAGCAGTGTGAATTTCTAGAAATCAGTTCCAAGTGACTCTGAGTGGCTGAATTGGTCTCAGGTCTTTTAAAAAGAGTGACTCAAGATGTCTAGCACTGTCACCGACCTGCTCTGTCTTGACCGTGTTTAAAGTGAATGACTCCTGTTTCACCCGTCTTCAGAATGTGCTAGAAGTGGTGGGGGAGTGAACAGTCCAGATGGCGCTGGCTTTTGAGTCCCACACACACAGACCTGAGTTTGGGTCCCCAAGTCTGCCACTGAGTGGCTCCTGACGTTGGGCAACTCAAGTCTCTGGGTCTCAGTTTTCTCATCTGCAAAACTGGGACAAGGACTTGACTTTTTTTTGGAGAGGGGGATATACTGAGGATTGAACCCAGAGGTACTTGACCATGAGCCCCATCCCCAGCCCTTTTTTATATTTTATTTAGAGACCGGGTCTCACCAAGTTGCTTAGAGCATTGCTAAGTAGCTGAGGCTGGCCTCCACCTTTCGATCCTCCTGCCTCAGCCTCCAGATCCACTGGCATGACAGGTGTGTACCACCCTGTTTCCCTCCATTGCCACGCCTCCGAATAGCTGCCTGAATGGGTTATTTCTCCAGAGAAATGCAACACCCTTGTCAGAAAACAAGTGGCTTACCTCCCGGCAGCTCAGCAGACTGGTGCAGGGTGAGAACGCGGTTTCCATAGCAACCTGGTCTGTGGCCCAGCTGGGCTCCCAGCCTGTGAGTCAGCCCCCAGCGTGTTGCCTGTTTTCTTGGATCAGAGTGAGTCAACACTTGGAGGGCTCCTCGGAGATCCCGCGTCCTCTCGTGGGCACAACCAAGAGAAAGACAAACCCCACGTGGGATCAGACCCCAGGCTGAGCACAGAGGCTGGCCTCCTCCGGGGAGTCCGACGTGCCCAGAGACCACTGTGTCTGGGTGCCCTTAGCTGATGGGAAATCGGAAAGAAAACGTCGAACCGAGTGTTTTTAGATAAATGCTTTATTTCTTTCTCAAATGTTTATAAAAGTGATTTCTCCTGAACATCCTCAGCACAAGCAGCTTCGCGAATTTATCCAGCCGTGGGGGAGGGCCGAGCTGAGCGCCAGCCTGCTTGATGCGTGGTCCCTTGACCCTCCGTTGGCGTTTCCGTTTCTTTCCTGACCTGAGCTCTGTGTTCAAGTCTTCTGTCATCAGAAAATGTGACTTCAGAACAATAGACCCCAAATGCCACTATGGGTGGTGGCCTGCAGTCCCTTGTCCTCTGCTATCCACTGAGCCAGCCTGATCGGGGGAGAGGGAGGAGCAGCCCCTCCGTAGGGGACAGAGGGACACCTGAGAGAAAGGGCAGCTGCGTTCCTAAGGGCACTTCTGCCCAGGGACCCCGAGTGTTTCTGCATTTAAAAAACAAGGCCACATCTCCAAAGGTGGGAAGGACAGGTGGGGCTCAGGGGGTGTCTCCTGGGAAGGTCCCACAGCGCAGAGTGGGGTTGGCACCAAAGAGCTGTGACAGTCACCCTGGGGGTGTGATGGGGTTCAGGCCACGACCTCCACGGGGCCCACCCCTGTGGGGATCGCCACTTCTGTCGGCCTCCTCCGCAGAGGGGACCCAGCACTGGGACCCAGAGCCGGGCCTCGGTCACATCTTCTCAAAGGGGAACAGGTGGGCGGCGGCCGCCTTCCTCCCCCTCCTGGTCTGGGGGCGCCTGGGCTTCTGCTCCTCGTCCTCAGCCCCCCGGTTCTGGGGCCAGGAGGCAGCCAGGATCCGGGCGGCTTCGGCTTGAGAGCTGGTCCCCTCCTCCTCGTCGGATGACAGGCCACCTCCTGCATCTGCGGGGGAAGCCACCGCCTCCTTCTGCAGGGGACAGTCAAGGGGCGCCACAGGCCACCGTCAGCACCCAGCCATGAGGACGTGCCCGTGGGGGCAGTGACACTCTCAGCCACCTGCCCCAGCTCCAGCCTGGCCAAGCCCTGGGCCTAGAGGAAGAGGGACCAGCAGGGGGCAGGACCTGGGCACTTGTCGCTTGGCCCAGGGACTGGTGCAGGCAGGGCCCTGAGAATGTGCTGTGAGACTCGCTCTGGGGACATCAGATGTGCTCCACAGTATGGCCATGTCCAGGGTCACTGCCGGCTGCTCTGTCACCCCACTTGGACAAACGTGCCTGTGTCTCTGAACTGCACAGATGTGGGGGACCCTCCTCAGTGCTGACTGGTGGCAGGGGACACCCCAGGAAGGCTGGGGGCCCCTGGTGGAGGGGGACTGCGCACGGGCAGCCTGGTCCCCATCAGGACAAAGCCAGACGCAGGCCCCTGACAGGGGAGGGTGCAGAACGGGACAGAAATATTCTCTAAGAGCGAACAGGGGGTAGGGACGGGGTGGGGACTGGAGGGTCTCCAGAGCGCCCTCCCCTGGGCCTCCCGCAGGACCCATCCCACCCACCACAGAACCCCAGGACCTGACGGGGACCTAAGGCTGTCATACTCCCACTGCACCCAGGACCTGCCTGGCACATGGCAGGCGCCGTGACAGTTGTTCTGAGATGTGCAGGTGGCTGCAGGTGCTGGGAGGGATGCATCCCCAGGAAAACCGCAGCCTCCTGGCCAACCCCGCCTGTGGCGGCTGCTCCCAAGGACAGGGACACCTGGGTGCAGAGCCAGCGGGGGCCTCCCTCCAGCAACACCCCAACACGTAAGGCCAGGCGCGAGACACAGGCTGGGCGTCAGGGTGTCCACGCTCGCGGGCACCTTCTCGAAAACCCACCCAGCCGCTCCCTGGGCGCAGGCGCACACTGACCTGGGCCCCGTATCTCAGCTTGAGCTTCTCGCGGATGAGCAGGCCCTTGGTCAGCAGCTTCCAGTGCCCCAGCGCCCGCTTCTCCCTCTTCTGCAGGGGGGACCGCAGAGGGAGGGACAGTCAGCGCCACGATGGACAGGTCTGGGAGCAGACCCGGGAGGACGCGCCCAGGACACTGCAGACCACAAGCCCCTCCCCCGTGCCCAGCCTCATTCCCCAAAAAATGGTCTGACCCAGGGGCAGGGGCTGGGCTCAGCGGTGCGCACTCCCTGGCATGAGGGGACACTGGGCGCGATTCTCAGCACCGCGTATAAACAGGTAAATAAAATAAAGGTGCAGCAACAAGTTAGACAAAGTTAAAAATAAAAAAACCTGGTCTGACCCAAGAAAATGACATTCTGCAAAGCCACCAAGAACAAGGACCTCTTCTGAATTGTTACTGTCTCTGTGGATCAGGTCGTCCAGGACCTGGACCTGGGCCACTCCTTTCAGTGCAGGGACGGCTGGTGTCGGCAGCAGGGCTGGCTGTCCCTGGGGCCTGGGCAGGCTGGTAGGGACAGTGGCGGTGGCTGTGGGTGGGTGGCAGGAGGCTGTTTTCCCCAGAGCTCACTTCATGGGGCACTTTTCACGAAGTCAAAGAGAAACAGAGGGAACCTCGGCTGGTGGCCCACGCCTGTCATCCCAGCTGCTTAGGAGGCTGAGGCAGGAGGATGGCAAGTTGGAGGCCAGCCTCAGCAACAGTGAGGCCCTGAGCAACTCAGGGAGACCCTTCTCTAAATAAAATGCAGAATAGGGCTGGGGACAGGGCTCAGGGGTCGAGGGTCCCTGGGTTTAACCCCTGGTCCCCCAAAAACCTATTGTCAGAGAGAATTTCAGAGCACGGCTGCTCCTCTTGCTCTCCCTGAGGCCAGGGGCCAGGGCAGGGCCAGCTCACCAGGGTGTCCTGCCGCCCTCTCCCCCTGGCCGGTCCTGCCCCAGGCTCACCTCCTTCTCCCTCTTCTCGATGAGGGCCTGCTCGTTCTCCCAGGCCGTCAGGAGCACGTCTTTGAATTCCTCGCAGACGATGTAGCCCTCGGTTCTGTGGGGACACAATGCGGGTGACCTTCCTGAGTCTGCCGCCTGCCCTCCTCTCCTGCTCCCCCTGCAGGGGACACAGTCCCTCTGCGCACTCAGGGTCCTGGGTGAGCTGGTGACAGGCAGCAGCAGGCAGCAGGAAGGCTCTGGAAACCGACAGGACCACTTCGTCCCCAGACCCTGCCTGAGAGGCCCCCGGCTGCCGGCCAACCCCACAGGGGACACAGCTCAGTGACCAGCAAGGACATAGGCCAGCTTTGGGCACCAGCTTGTGAGGACCCCTGGGGACCTAGCATCATGAGGACGCTCATGTCCCTGGTTCTGCTGCCCCTGGGCAGCTGCCAGGGTGGGGCAGGACAGGCCGGACCTCCAATCCAGAGCCAAGTCCTGCCAGGAGAGGCCGGGCCTCCCCGCGCCAGCGGCCGCCCTGCCCCTCATCAGGGCCCTGCACGCACACAGGGTGGGAGTAGCCTCCGTGGAAATCGAAGCCCGTGACGGCCTGGACACAGTCGATGTCCAGCTTGCGGGCCACGCGGGGCAGATTGGGCAGGTCGAGCTGGACGCAGCCGATGGGCATCATGCTGGGCAGGAAGAGGTACACGTTCCCGAACTCATTCCGCGGCACCTGCGGAGGGGGCACAGCAGAATGTGGCCGGCAGCAGGACAGAGCCGCCTGGTCCCCAGCCCCGAGGCTGCCCGTACCTTCCCGTCCACGGCCACCGGGGGCTGGTACTCCTCCGTCTGCCAGCGGCCGAACAGGGCCAGGTCATTGTGGTCCTGCAGCTGGGGCTCGGCCAGGCGGGCCTTGCGGGCGCGGTTGGAGAAGCCCTTCACCATCTGCCCAGAGACACAGCCATGTCACGGCGCGGGCTCCCAGATGGGGCCTCGTGACAAACGTGACCTCGGGTGCCACCAGCGAGAAGTGCCCTGGGCACCTGGCGCTCTTCCTGGGGCTTCAGATGTTGGTCAGAAGCCCACGAGGGGGGCCCACTGCGGTGCCCACTTCACAGATGAGCAGCCCGGGGGGACACGAGGCCTGATGTCACGCAGCGTGTCACGGTCAGGCCTGTGCTTTCAGCCACCCCACTCCATGCAGCACTCGACCTCCACAGGAAGATCTGCACTAGAGGTAAGGTCACCCGCCTAAGGGGACCATGACCAGGACGAGCCAGAACTCAGACACAGGTACTGTCCTCTCTGTTGTCAGCCACCACATGACCTCAGGTCACCTCTGGAGGCCCGAGTGGTGCAGGACACTGTCCCCTCCCTACCTGGCCCGGTGCCAGTCCCCGGACTTGTCCCAGGCACAGGAGACACAGGTGCTGGGGTGCTGGCCAGGAGCACGGGGGTGTGGGACTCATGAGGGTGACAGGTCCAGGGCTGGAGACTGGCTCCTGGCCTGGGCACTGCAGGGGCAGCAGCTTTCCTGAGAGGGGCACGTGGGGCCACCATGTCCTTATCCCCTTTAAAATCCTGAGACGCAGCCTGGGGTCAAGAGCCAGGGCAGGCGCCAGCGTGTGACCTGTGTGACCTGCTCCCCTGTCCCCTCCTGCCGTTCTCCCAGGCACCCCCTCGCTGTCACCCGGTGGGCTCTCTCCAAGGAAGCCACTCACCCAGCGGTGTCTGGTGACACCCACTGAGCGTCTCTCACACCCTGCTGGGCCACCAGCCACGAGGGACAGACAGGAAGGGACATCACTGCCCTGGTGGAACCCAGGATGCCGTGGGGAAGAGGAGGGAAAGTCACAGGGCGCTCGGGGGACAATCACCACCAGCCCTCGGGACGGAGGAGGAGGACAAAGTCTGCCCAGGACAGGTGGCGTATAAACAGAGACTGAAAGGGCACAAGGCAGGGTTGCTCAGCAGAACAGGGTGGGGAGAAGGGCACCTGGCACCCAAAGGGCACAGACGTGTGAGAACACCTCTACCTGGAATTCTGGACATAGTCTAGCAGGGAGGAAGCAGGTGCCACAGCAGCCCTCTAGCACCATGAGGAAGGCATGGGCCTCTATCTCAAAGGCAAGGGGAGGCTGGGTGGGCTGTGCTGGGTGGTGTGGAGCATAGTGTTGTGTTTTGGAAAGATCCGCACAACTGCAACACAGCCACCAGGTTCCGGCTGGGAAGGAAGTAAGGTTGTCATCTGAGAGGGAAACGGGGAGGCAGGATGTGGACGGTGGGCTCAGAACAGAGTGTGGATCTGAGAGACCTGGGGTCATCCTAGGGCTGCACTCGCACAACATAATGAAACACCCACGACTGTCCAAGCCCAGGGACTGACAGCCACGTACACACAGGATTAAGATACTGGATGTAGCCAGGCACGGGGGCAGCACCTGTCATCCCCGCAGCTCAGGAGGCTGAGGCAGGAGGATCATGAGTTCAAAGCCAGCCTCAGCCAAACGGAGGCCCTGAGCAACTCAGGGAGACTCTATCTCTAAATAAAATGCAAAATAGGGCTGGGGACGGGGTTCAAGGGTCAAGGGCCCCTGAGTTAGTCTCAGGTACCAAAAAAAAAAAAAAAGATCCGTCACAGTCCCGCCCGTCACAGTCCCGCCTGTCTCGTGGGTTTGGCCCATTTCTGGAAGGTACTGAAGACGATGAACCTAGGGCTTGCGTTCTGTCCCTGCTGGGCAGCACTGTTCCAGAAAGAAGAAACTGAGCAGCCGTGGTCCAGGGAAGACGTGGCCCCTCAGGACCGGCAGACGGCACCGTGCGCCCAAGCCTGCTGTTGGCAGCCCCCTGCCACCAACGCCTGAGCCCTCCCCCTAAACCCAAGCCCTCCCTCTCCACCCAGCGCCCTGCCCCCAGGGCCACTGCCGGGAGCTGGCAGAGAGGTCCCTGCTTCTCTGTGGCCGTCGCCGCACTCTGCCACTTCACTGCTCTGTGTCCTGAGAAAAGTCTGTGTGGTGACACCTCGCTGCGCCTCGTCCCTCACGGGGGACTGCCCCCACACCACAGCTCCGTGGGAGAGGAAGAGGGCCGATGACAGGCTGGGCCAGGGGCTCTTGCTGGGCTCTGCCATGTTCCTAAGCTAAGGCCCGGGGCGGGCCACCTGCCCCTGGAGGTCCCCTGTCTGCGCATCTGTGAGATGGCACCGGGGTGCCAAGGCCCTGGCTGAGCCCCCAGAGGGCGCTCACGCAGAGGCCTGGCAGGCTGGACACAGGGACAAAGGGACTCAGGCGCACGCCTGTGGGGGCTCAAGGGCCCAGGAACAGGCACCTGCAGGGCCCGGGGCTCCCCAGGGCTCAGCTGCCCTGGGCCAGGCTCTTCCCATTCGTCCCTGGTAGGTGGCTCCTCAGGGACCCCTCGATCCTGCCACAGTCCTGCCCTCCGCCCCAGCTCCGACCCCCGCCCCCTTCCCTGGGACACCCAGTGTCACCTTGTAAGGCACTTCTCCCAGCCGCACCACCCGGGCCTGCTTCAGCCACGTGTCCTTGGAGTGCAGCGTGTGCACACAGTCCCTAGAGGGCGACAGAGGGGAGCAGACGTCAAGCCAGGGCCAGCCCTGGACCCAGCACCTCCTGGCCCCCGGCAGGTGGGAGAGCCCCGTCCCCAGCCCTTTTTATATTTTATTAGAGACAGGGTCTTGCTGACTTGCTGAGGCTGGCCTCCGACTTGGAATCCTCCTGCCTCGGCCTCCTGAGGAGCTGGGGTGACAGGCGTGCGCCCCTGCGTCCAGCTTCTTTCTTTTTTTTGAAAAAAATATATTGTTTCCAGTTGTTGGTGGACCCTGGTTTCATTGATTTATTTCTAGGTGGTGCTGAGGATGGGACTCAGAACCCAGCACCCCCGGTCTCTGCTCCTAAGGGACCTGAGGAGCTGCGGGAGCCAACAGCCCCAGCCTGTCCCTGGGAAGTGGGCCTGTCTGTCTGGGGCTCTGCGCTGGCCTCCGGGGCCCGTCCCTGGCCTGGATTCTCTTTGCTCCTGTCCAGAGCCCGGGGCGAGAGCTCCTTCTGCAGCCTGCAGGGCACAGGAAGGGACACTGCATGCAGGTGTGACCACTCCCCACCGGGTGGCGCCCGCTGAGGGTCTCGTCTGCAGCTCACACCACTGGGTCAGGTGCCTGGCGCCCAGCAACACAGGCGGTGAACCCGAAAGACGGCTGGGAAGCCACGATCAGCAAAGGGGCCATCGGGATTGGGGCGCAGGCACAGGCCGTGGCCCGGCTCCTCTCTCCTCCCTGAGCTAAGAGCACGTCACAGCCTCGCAGTCCCCAGAGGGCCCACTCCTGCCCCTGCCAAGCCTCCCTGAAGGGGACAGTGTCAAGCTCCTCTTGATGTGCACCCCTGACCCCGCTGGGGAAAGAGATCCAGTAGGGCACGGACGCCCAGGGGCTGCCTGGCTCAGACCTCGGGCTCTGGGGCTTTACAGTCCCTCTGTGCCACCTCCTGGCTGGGACTGGACGGGTCCCCTGAGCTGCCTGGGCCTCGGTGTCCTCAGGATCCATGTGGGGTGAGGAACCCTGTCCTGCTCCACCTCCGTGGTTGCTAAGAGGAGATGGGGCTGGGGTCGTGGCTCAGGGGTAGACGCTCACCCTGCACGTGAGGCACTGGGTCCCATCCTCAGCACCACACAGAAGTAAATCCATAAAACCCGGGTCCATCAACAACCGGAAACAATATTTTTTTTAAAAAGAGAAAGAAGCTGGTCGCAGGGGCGCACACCTGTCATCCCAGGGGCTCAGGAGGCTGAGGCAGGAGGATTCCAAGTTGGAGGCCAGCCTCAGCAACTCAGCGAGGCCCTGAGCAACTCAGCGAGACCCTGCCTCTAGTAAAATATAAAAAGGGCTGGGGACGGGGCTCTGTGGTAAAGCAACTGTGGGTTCAATCCCTGGTACCAAAAATAAGTAAATTAAGAAAATAAATAAATAAAGGCAACCCTATTTGCTTGGTCTTACATTTAAGCATTTTTTTAAAAAATGATCACTTTTTTCATTTCCTTTCCATTTCTCAAAAATCTTCTAATTTTTCATCAGACAGGGTCTTCCTTAGGTTGCGGAGGCTGGCCTCGACCTTGTGATCCTCCTGCCTCAGCCTCCCGAGTCCTGGGGTGACAGACATGCCCCACCACAGTGGCTCTAGCTACTTTTAATTTTCCAACTCTTTCATCCCTGGTCTGTTAACCCTCCCGGGGTTCCTCCCAAGCTCTGCTCTCTTCTTCACGGCGCAGGTACAACCACAGTTCACCCCTCAGTGCCGTTCACTCAGCAAGATGAGCCGATGTGAACGGCCCCTGGCCCAGGGAGACGGTGGCGGGTTCCGGACCACCAGGAACCCCAGGAGGCCACCAGGCCGCCCACGCACCTGGAGTAGACAGCTTCCCCACGACAGTAGCCCAGGATGGCCGCCGTCTCGGGGTAGATGGCCTCGTACTTGAGAAGATGCCGCTTCAGGGCGTACAGAGGGTGGTTCTTGTAGGTGCCGATGGCAGTGGGCAGAGGCTGGCCCAGGTGCTTGGCCTGAAACTGCAGAGGCCAGACAGAGAGCGGTGAGGCCGAGGGGGGCAGGGGAGGCCGAGGGGGGCGGGGGAGGCCGGGGGGGCAGGGGAGGCCGGGGGGGCAGGGGAGGCCACAGCAGAGACCCCTCACACTGCTGTTCTGCCAACAGATGGCGGGTTCCAGGGACACTAGCACCAGCAGGAAAGACAGCAGAATCAATGGGACGTCACCCTGTGTGTGCACCCAGGGACACTCGACCAGCGAGACCCTGACCACATGCAACCACAGGAGGGGATCCCAGCTAGGGCAAGCCGTACCCCGCGTGCGCGTGACAGGTCAGCATGCACTGCACTGTCACATGTGTCTAACAGGAAGGAGCAGAGGGACACTGGTGACTTCCTCGTGCTTCATCTGCAGCTCTGGTCGTGGGGAGGCCGCAGAGTGATGAAAAGCTCTGAGGAATTCAATCCCCCCGTGGTTTGCAGTGACTCCAGGGAGTCCCCCGACCTGTCCCCAACCCTCAGACCCCTTATCCAGCCCTAGGGGAATGGGGCCTGCCCCCTGAGCATCTTCAAGGAAGAAAGTCATTTCCTCAGTAAGAAGGCCTTATCCCAAAGTGACGTCACTGTCCTAGAATGTGGGCTCGGTCGCCTCTGCTCTCACAGGAAATTGAAATGACGGTTCACATCCTGCTCCTACATTTTCTGATTTTTCTTTTTCTTTTCTGTTTTTGGTACTGGGAATTGAACCCAAGGGTGCTTAACCACTGGGCCACATCCCCAGCCCCTTTCGGTTTTTATTTTGAGACATGGTCTCGAGGCTGGCCTCCAACTTTCAATCCTCCTGCCTCGGCCTCCCGAGTTGCTGGGATGACAGGTGGGCGCCGCTGTTCCTGGCTCCTGCAGTTTTCCTCTTCCCACCGTAATTAAGGATTCCGGGTTCTCGGGGGCAGACTCACTGCTGTGACCCGTACCCTGTTCACAAAGTTCTCAAGCTTTCCTTGACAGCCCTTCACAGGCCCCATCGGATCAGTCGGCCTGGCGTGTGAGACTCCAGCCCCACCGAGCCTCAGCCACAGGAGCGAACCTCTGCCCTGGTGAGCAGCTCAGGTCCCCTCCCTGGTGTCAGAGCTGGTTCTAGAACCAAGGGACACGCTGCGTTACGTCTGGGAAGTCCCTGCCTCCAACAGGCCTCCTCCAGACACTGAGGACGCTGCCTCCTCCCAAGCCCCGCCCTTTCCAGGAGATGTGTGCGTTGCTACGGTGAGCCATCTGTATACATGTGGGCCATCTGTATACGTGTGAGCCGTCTGTATGCGTGTTTGTGCCCACGGGATGGAAAAGGAGCGACCCCCAGGCGCAGCAGCTCAGACCTGTACTTCCAGCTACTTAGGAGGCTGAGGCAGGAGGATCTCGAGTTCAAGGCCAGCCTCGGCAACTTAGGGAGACCCTGTCTCAGAATGAGAAAAATCGGGAGGGGACACTGGGGTTGTAGCTCAATGGTAAAGTGTCCCTAAGGCCAATATCCAGGACCACAAAAAAGAAAAAGAAAGAGTTAGAGGTAGTGGTAAGTGTGTGGATGAGTTATTCCCTCTGTCCCTGGGCCCTGTTTTGTGAGTTTCTAGATTACTTTAAAGCTGCATATGCACAATGGGACAATGACTTAAAAGTAAGCAGGTTCCATAAAGAAAATGTGGTACATATTCACAATGGAATATTACACAGCCATAAAGAAGAATGAAATTATGGCATTTGCTGGTCAATGGACAGAGCTGGAGACGATCATGCTAAGTGAAATCAGCCAGTCCCAAAAAACCAAAGGCCAAACACTCTCTGTGATGTGCGGATGCTGACTCACACTGAGGGAGGAAGGACGGACAGAGTTCACTGGATTAGACACAGGGGAAGGAAGGGAAGGGAGGAGGGGGCTGGGAATGGGAAAGACAGTGGGATGAACTTTCCCATGTTCATATAGGAACACGTGACCAGTGACACCCCACAGCATGTCCAACCACAAAACAGGGAGTCACACTCCGTGTGTGTGTCTGACGTCAGGACACTCTACTGTCATGCATATCTAAAAAGAATAAGTAAATAATAAAAAGTAAAAGTATCCAGGCTCCAAGGCAACACGGACCTGGGTTCAAAGACCTAGTAAGATGATAACAATAAAATGATCATAAAATAAAGATATCAAAAAAAAAAAAAAAAACCCTAGTCAGTCAGTCACTCAGCTCTGAAACATGCTACCAGCAAAATCAAGGCTCTGACGACCCCAGCTTTCCAAGATCTGATGGGATGAGCAATGACACTAACGACACCCAACACAGCACTGGGCACTAGTTACTTTAAATGGACTTAGTTGGGCACAGTGGCTTACACCTTTGGGAGGCTGAGGCAGGAGGATTGCAAGTTGGAGGCCAGCCTCAGAAACTTGGTGAGGTCCTTCGCAACTTAGCGAGACCTTGTCCCCAAATATAAAATAGAACAGGGCTGGGGACGGGGCTCAGTGATGAGACGCTCCTGGGCTCAATTCCCAACACCAAAAAAAGAAGAAAGGGAGTGAGTGTCCGCAGGCTGCGGGGGGCGGGCGGCAGGCCTTACCTCCGAGTCCTCCTTCTTGTCCCTGTCCAGCTGCGGGCTCTGGTAGGGCCTCAGGGTCTCGGCCCACCACTCGGGATCCACCCGGCACTTGCGGGTGGCCGTCATCCAGGCGGGGTCATACCTCTGCGTGACGTCGCGGACCCAGCCGTCGCTGTCGATGCCCACGACGTAGGCCACGGGCCTGGTGGCGAACCTGTAGCAGGCCGGGGGCTGGCCCACCACGCCGTGCACGCAGTCCACGCACACCCACCGGGACTCGCGCTCGCAGAACACCTCCAGCCACTGGTCCACCCCGGGCGGGCCCCTGCCCACGGCCTCCTGGGCCTCGCCAGTGGCCTTCTTGCCTCTCTTGCGGCTCGAGGAGACCGACGACGCTGCCGGGCGCTTACAGTGGTCACTCTGGGGCCCAGACTTTGTCCTCCGAGGGGCGGGGGCCTTCCTCCGCTTCGGAGGGGCGGGTTCAGAGTCCTCCCCGGAGGAACTATGGGCCTCCCCGCTGGAGAGCTCGAAGTCAGAGCTGCTGCTGGACCGGCCACTCCCACTGTCCTCTTTGTAAGAGACCCTGGAGGTCACCCGTCGCTGCCGGCCACGAGGCCGCCCCGGGGCTTTCCCGGGCCGCTGCCCTTGGCTGCCCTCACCCTCCTCGCTGGAGGAGTCGCCCCGCTTCCTGCCGGGCCTGGCCGCCTGGGTCTTCCTGGCCTTGGCCGCCCGCTGGCCGGGGCCCTTCGATGACGCTCCCCCTGGTCCGGCTCTTGGGCTGCTCTTGGGTGTCTTTGGGTCTCCTGGGACTTGGCTGCCGGCTTCTGAGGAGTCTCCAGCACCTTCTGCGCATGTCTCCTTGGACAGCCTCCTTCCCTGAGTACGACAAGGAGCTCTGGTTTCTTTTGGCTTTTTCACTATTCATCTCGGGAAGATCCTGACCCGAAACAGGGCCAAGGCGCGGCCCGAGAATCAGTGCAGCAAGAGACCCCGGATCAGACACGGTCCCTCCTTTAGGGCTGGACAGAAGCATCAGCTCAGATCTGTACCCCTGAGATGAAGACCCTGCGATCCCTTTGTCACCCTGACTATGGACAGAAAAAGGGCCAGGGACTCAGGAACAGAGGCCCCCGGGTTCGAACTGAGGTCATGTGACTCGGGGAACGTACTTCACATCCTGACCTCAGTTTGCTCTGCAAGAATCATACCTACCTCGCAGACAGGTGTCTGCAAGAACACACTAGGGACGATGGTTTTAGAAATTCAGAGATTATTGTCGGGCACAGTGGCCCACGCCTGCCAGCCCTGCAGCTCAGGAGGCTGAGGCAGGAGGATCGAGAGTTGGAGGCCAGCCTCAACAAAAAGTGAGGCCCTAAGCAACTCAGTGAGACCCTGTCTCTAAATCATATACAAAACAGGGCTGGGGATGGGGCTCAGCGGTTGAGTGCCCCTGGGTTCAATCCCTGGTACCCCCCCCCCAAAAAAAAAAACAAATTCAGAGGCTATTAAAATCCACCTGTAGCCTGAGGACTGGGGCACAGCTCAGTGCTGGAGCTGTCACCTCAATGAATGAAGCCCTGGGCTGGATCCCAACCACCACCCCCCCAAACAGAGAGGAAAGCGTGCCATCACCACCCGCTGCTCAGAATGCGCATCACGCCGCCTGGTTCACGGAACAGAAACCACATCACCAGACACCAGGCCTCCCACCGGGCACTCTGTGCACACCACACACCAGGTGCCAGGTGCCCACTCATGTGCCCACTCTCCCTCCAAACCCAGGTTATACGAAGGCAGCCTCCAAAGAACTCAGCCTCCAGAATAGCAGCTCTTAAAAAAAACTTTTTGGGGGGACAGGGGATAACAGAGATTGAACACAGAGGTGCTTAACCCCTGAGCCCCCTCCCCAGCCCTGTTTTGTGTTTTATTTAGAGACAGGGTCTCACTGAGTTGCTTAGCGCCTCGCTTTCGCTGAGGCTGGCTTTGAACTCGCGATCCTCCTGCCTCAGCCTCCTGAGCCTCTGGGATGACAGGTGTGCACCACTGTGCCCAGCTCTTAAAAATATAATATTGATGCTGAATGTGGTGGCACTTGCCTGTAATCCCAGAGGTTCAGGAGGCTGAGGCAGGAGGATCACAAGTTAGAGGCCAGCCTCAGCAACTTAGTGAGGCCCTAGTCCTGTCTCAAAAAAATAAGTAAAAAATGAAGAATAAAAAAGACTGGGATATGACTCAGTGGTAAATGCCAGTAAGTTCAATACCTGGTACCAAAAATCAATGATCAATAAATACGCAAATAAATTATATATATAAATACACACAGAGACACATATACACACATATATATACTGACTGATCTTTTTTTTAACTTAACAACTTCTCACTCCTTCGTGATTGCCTGACCCTTTCTCTGGACGCCCCAGAACCTCACCTTTGCCACAGATAACTTCAGAGGAATTGGCTGGAGAGAGAGCACCAGGCGGGTCAGGAGCCGTAGAGCCCGGAGAATCAACAGAAATATCTACGAGGAAAAGAGAGAACCCATTCATCCTCACACGATAATTCAGGATTTAGTTAATTCCCTGTTGCTAGCAGTTTGTTTACAACAGTGGGAAGCTGTTCCTGTCAGGTATTTCAGTCACAGTGACAGAAAAGCCGACACACTGAGGCTCCTAAATTTCAGTACATGGATTAATAGGCACCTTTCAGGGATAAGATCTTATTTTTTTTTTTTTTTTTTGGTACCAGAGATTGAACCCAGGGGTGCTTAACTACTGAGCCCCCTCCCCAGCCCTTTTTTGTATTTTATTTAGGGACAAAGTCTTGCTGAGTGGCTTAGGGCCTCGCTATTGTTGAGGCTGGCCTCCAACTTGTGATCCTCCTGCCTCAGCCTCCCCGGCTGCTGAGATGGCAGGCGTGGGCCACGGCGTCCAGCTGCAGACTCATGATCATGGTAGTAGTGACACGGCAGTGCCACCAGGAGTGACTCACATGGACCAGCTCCTCATCATCTCGCGCGGAGTAGATGGCAAACCTCCTCCCGAGTGTCGTCTGCAGGTCATCTTGCTCGTTGGTGGACAGGTCCGGATTGACCGTGAAGGTCCCAGTGAACCTGGAGGGGAGGCAGCATCCCCGGGGGGAAGGGGACATTCCGTTGTTTTACAGACAGGAAAATCAAAAGGAGGGGGACCATGAGCCGCACCGGGAACCCAAGTGGCTGAAGCGCCAACTCTGACGTCACTTCCTGGGGTGGCCTTCCCACACCGCCCACCTGAGGTAAGCGCCCTGCTCCAGGTGCCACCGTCCCCGACACCTCTCCAGAGTGTCCCCACACACCATGACCTGGCGTGCTCCTCTCCCCCAGCCTGGGAGCCCTTCCAGGACGGGGATCACGCCTGTGTCCCCCCATCTTCCCCACCAGGTCCCCTGCCTGGTGCGGCCCACCTCAGGGAAGGTTTGCAGGACCCGAACCTCACCCAGGAGAACCTCAGTCCCTTTTTTCTATTTTATTTAGAGTCAGGGTCTCCCTGAGTTGCTGAGGGCCTTGCTCAATTGCTGAGGCTGGCCTCCAACTTGCGATCCTCCTGCCTCAGCCTCCCAAACCCCGACCACCCTGCTATAGAGCACAGGCGCGCGGCCTCACCACTTCACCAGGTTGGAGAGGAAGCTGACGTCCACGTCGTGAGGCGGCACTTTGGTAAAGCGAGTGGGGATGATGGAGAGGCCAATGGCGAGCAGGTCTGGCTGGCTGCAGACGCTATTGCGATAGAAGCCATTGGCCAGCAGGCACAGCAGGTGAACCTGCAGACAGGGAGGCAGGAGAGGGGAGGCCATGGGAGGAAGGCCGAGAAACCTCTAGCAGAGATTTCTGCTCTGTCTCGAGTCCAGGCTATTTTTTTTGTGGTACCAGGGCTTGAACCCAGGGGTGCTTGACCACTGAGCCCCGTCCCAAGCCCTATTTTGCATTTTATTTAGAGACAGGGTCTCACGGAGGTGCTTAGGGCCTTGGTTTTGCTGAGGCTGGCTTTAAATTCGCGATCCTCCTGCCTCAGCCTCCAGAGTTGCTGGAATGACAGGCGGGCACCACATCCAGCTGAAATCCTGAGCGTTTTGAGTACTGACATGACGTTCACTGAAAAAGTTTCCAATTTTGAAGCATTTAAGACATTAAATTTTGGGGTTAGGAATGTCTTAACCTATAGAAGTCTCTGTCCAAAGTGCCATACAATGACCTTGCCAGGTCTGTGTACATATTCCGGTAACTACCAGCGAAAGTCAAAAGCCACTGCACTATAACTAAGACCAGAATCAAGGTTCAGAAATGGCTGAAGCCAGGCGCGGTGGCACATCCTGTCATCTCAGCAGCTGGGGAGGCTGAGGCAGGAGGATCACAAGTTGGAGGCCAGCCTCAGCAATTTAGCAAACTCCTAAGCAACTCAGGGAGACCCTGTCTGTAAATAAATACGAAATAGGGCTGGGGACGGGGCTCAGGGGTAAAGTGGCCCTGGATTCAATCCCTGGTACCAAAAAAAAGAAAAAGAAAGAAATGGTTGAAATTAGAGAAGAGATGGAAAGCAGTAACCTGGTGCTCAGCCCCTGCTACCTGCCGGGCAACTGTGCTGCAGCAATCTGCCAGGTGATACCTGCCTAATGCTCATAACCACCCTGCAGTCAGCCACTGCCCACCCCGACCCCCACCCGACACACACACGCTCTTCACAGAGGAGGAAACCAAGCTCAGCGGGCTAAGAATGGCGCCAGCGTGGCCCTGTGTGGAGCCTGATTGGCGGAGACACGGCCCTCCCAGGGAGCAGAGCCTCCTCACGGCCCGTACCTTGTGCGTGTTCTCGTGGACTTCTTTACTGAAGCGCTTCATCATCCTCCGCAGCTGCGTCTCAAACTCCATCTTCATCTTTTCCCTGCCACACGGAGAGAAAGACACTGTCATCAGATCCCACTCCCCGTCCACACCACCGCCCCTCACCATGAGCCTTGCTGACCCCACGGGTGCGCTACTCAAGCAGGCTGCAGGCCAGGTATTCCCTGCGTGCTTTTCCACTCTTCCCTCCCTGCACACCTGAGCTAGGACAGTCCCTACAGAAGTCTTCCCTGACCTTACAACTACTCACTCCTTCAACTGGAATTGAACTCAGAGGTGCTCAACCACTGAGCCCCGTCCCCAGCCCTTTTTATATTTTATTCAGAGTCAGGGTCTCACTGCGTTGCTTAGCATCTAACTTCCAGAGGCTGGCCTCAACTCGTGATCCTCCTGCCTCAGCCTCCCCAGCCACCGTGCCCAGAGCAAGCACTACCTTTATGTTCAGTCAGTGCACGGTCATTTGGGGGGGGCCATGAATGAGTCCCGGGTTTGTCTGAACCACCTCAAGGCGGGGATGTTGCTCTTCTGGGAACCCTGGGTGAAGTCCCCCATTCGAGACCACTCAGTATGTGGTGGCGCCCTGCCCTTGGCTCCCTCAGCCCTAGGTTCCCAGGCCCCAGGGAGTGGAGGAGGTGGAGGAAGCCTGCTCAGCCCCCACCTGGCTGCCCTTGCCACCTGCTTCCTGTTGTCCTCGGGAAGGTCTTCATTTGGAACCCCCTGGGGTTCCTCCACCTAAAAGCCCCCGCCCGGGCTGCGGTCAGTGGTCAGACCCAGGCCCCACCGCACTGGGCCACCCCCCGGGGCCTGCATTGCACTTATTTCTGTGTCTTCAGTTCTTCAACTTCTCAGACCATTAAGGTTCCTAATCTGACTCCTCGCCCCAGTGCAGGGACACTGAGTCAAGGTCACATCCCATCAAGTGACCGTCATTTGTGTGACACTATTCTAGTGCAAAGCCTTCAGGAGTCTTCGTGAATCTGGGATCCTCGACACAGGGACAGCTGACCACTCAACAGTTCCTCTTGTTAAGTCATCAGAGGCGGCAGGGACCCTGGGAAGGGGGAGGCTCCCGGGCACAGCGAGCACTGGCTGAAGCTCAGTAGCAGGACGTGGCAAGACAGGGCTCCAGACCCCGGGCCTCTGCTCACTGCTGAGTGACTCCAGGAATGTTACTTGACCTCTCTGGGCCCCTCTGGCCATCGCCTGTCCCCAGGACTACCCAGGGTCCTCGTTCAAGTCCTCCAGGGAACCCGGGCCTCGCTCACCTGACCTTCCTGAGCACGTCCATCCCCAGCCGTGGTCCCCAGGTCCCTGTCACCAGGTTTCCCTCCGTGGACCTGCGGCCCTGGTGGGGGACAGACCCAGGACGCCTGCCCTTACCTCCTCTCTCTGCTCTTGGCCTGCTCCGGGGTCTCGATCTCGATCTCCACGGGCTCCACAGGCACCGCAGACGCAGACGACGCTGAGCCGCCTCCCGTGTCACTCGGCCCAGGCTCGCTGAGCTCTGTCGACAATGAGGTCTTAAATCAATGACGCGAACCACTGCTGCACTAAACCAAGTCAGGGCGCTGGGAGGCAGGAGGAGGGGGAGCGTGGAGGAGGAGCCCCCAGAACACACGTCACCGTGCTCAGTCGCTGACGTCTGTGTATCTCATGTAACCCACACGGCAGCCCGTGTCTCACCTTCAGATGAGCAAACTAAAGCAGAGAGAGAGCGAGGTGAACCCAGGACACCCCCTGGGGCCAGTGTCACGTGCCTGGAATCCCAGCAGCTCGGGAGGCTGAGGCAGGAGGATCTCCAGTTGGAGGCCAGCCTCAGCCACTTAGCGAGGCCCTAAGCAACTCAGTGAGACCCTGTCTCTAAAAAAGGGGCTGGGGACGGGGCTCAGGGGTTAAGCACCCCTGGGTTTAATCCCTGGTACAAAAAAACAAACAAACCTGCTATCAAGAGCTCACCACGTATGGGGGCTGGAGCTGGGGCTCAGTGGGGGAGCGTTTGCTCTACTTGTGTGAGGCCCTGGGTTCCATCCTCAGCTCCACATAAAAATACAGTTATTTAAAAGGGTGGTGAGTTGGGGGTAGAGTACAGTTTGGATTAAGAGAGGCTTAAACATAACAATAGCAGCCAGGCACAGTGGGGCATGTGATCCTGGTGACGTGGGAGGCTGAGGCAGGAGGATCCCAAGTTGGAGGCCAGCCTTAGCAACTTAATGAGACCCTGTCTCAAAGTAAAATAAAAAGGGCTGAGTAATGAGCCCCCAGGGTTCAATTCCCAGTACTGGAAAAAATAAAGAGCTCTGACAGCCAACAACAAGGGTTATACCCACTGGAACCTGAGTTAGAATAAAGACAAAGACACAGCTACAAGGAGAGGTTTGTGACAACTCAGATGGGACACTCTTGCTCTGTCACTGTAAGGGTTGTGCTGACATATTAGAAGTGTCAGGACGTGTGCAAGTAATTTTCCAAAGGTTCCAATGTAAACTTCCACAGGAAAGAAACCTTCCAGGTGGCAAGATGTTAAAGGGAGGAACCTGGGTCAAGGGTACGTACTGCTCTTTCAATGTTTTGCAAGTTTGAACATTTTCAAAATAAAATGCTGGGCTGGGCTGGGGCTCAGTGGTAGCGCACTTGCCTGGCATGTGTGAGGCACTGGGTTCGATCCTCAGCACCACATAAAACACCATAAAGATATTGTGTCCACCTGATTAATAAAATAAAATAAAATGCCAAGGAGAAACCCTACTCGGCAGAAAGGAATCAGGGACACTACCATCAGTGCTGTCTACTGTGAGTGTTCGATCCGGCCCCAGGACACCTGGGGTCCTGTTTTTCCACAACATTCCAGAGCCCAGACTGCCAGGCTGGTAAGCAGCCAGTGTTTAGAGAGGGCTACCAACGAAAAGTTACTTACGTGACTGCAGACCTGCCCTGAACCCGGCTCTAACGTCATCCAAAGCCCGTGCTGTTTCTACAACACACTGCTGCCTCTCTACTTATGGCTACTCCACTGATGGTCACCAGAGGAAGAGAATATAGATGACCTTCTTGGATAATCTGGTCGTGGATTTTCCATTATATCAAAAGCAAGTCCCTGGCCAGGTGTGGTGGCCCACGCCTGTCATCCCAGCAGTTTGGGAGGCTGAGGCAGGAGGATTGCAAGTTGGAGGCCAGCCTCAGCAACTGAGCAGGCCCTGAGCAACTCAGCCAGCCCCTGTCTCTAAATAAGACATTTTTAAAAAGGGCTGAGGATGTGGCTCAGTGGTAGGGGAAAAAAAAAGAAATCAGGAAGTCCTTAACCGCTACCTTAGCTTGGTTTTATCAGATTCAAAAGAAAGTGTCAGAATTAGAGCAAGTGGCCGGAGTCCAGGAGAGTCACCCAGCTCAGGGGACAAGGAGAGGAGCTTTACCTTCCACCTCCTCCCAGTCCTCCTCACTGTCTTCCTCATCTTCTCCTTCGCTGCTCGTTCTGTCCACGGGGGCCTCCTTCTTTACACGTGCCTTCTTGAAGTCCCTTGAAAAGCCCCTGTGTGGGGACACGGGAAGGAAACAGAAGGCTCAGACGTCGCAGTGTCTCGTTCAGGCTCAATGGGATGAAAAGACAACTCCCCCTGTGCATCAGGAGGCTGTGGCAGTTCCGAATGTGAAGGTGGCTACACCGAGGGCCCAGTCCCATTCCCTTCCCCAGCGTGGGTCCCCGAATCTCCTCAAGCTGCATCTGATCAACCTAGATATCTGTGTGTGCACGTGCAGGCCAAGGCCAGAAAGAGGGGAAGGGATTCCCGCTTGTTGATCCTCCTGTAAACCAAGTCAGAAGGGGTCTCCTTCCACCTTTAAGAAATAAGACATAAGACATTGGGCGCGGGGGCGCATGCCTGTAATCCCAGCAGCTCCGGAGGCTGAGGCAGGAGGATTGCAAGTTGGAGGCCAGCCTCAGCAACTCATCAAGGCTCTAAGCAACTCAGGAATAAGATATAGAATAGGACAGGGGATGTGGCTAAATGGTTAAGCACCCCTGGGTTCATCCCCAATACCAAAAAAAAAGAAGAAAGAAAAGATGTAAGTGAACCGAAGTTGGAAGGACTCTAATTTCCAGATAAGCGAGAACATGACTATACACAGGTACGTCATAAAAAATATAAGCAAGCTAACCACACAGGTAAGCAGCCAGCTAAACAATTGTTCAAGACTGAATGCTTGCTAACATGGGATAAATACATGCAAATTCATATAGAAACACGCTCTGAGTTACTTTTAGGTTGTGTAAAGTATGACACGACATTGAATAAGATTTTTGCACAGACATTAAAAAAACCACCAATTTTCTGTCTTCAGTTCTAAGAAGACACACACTGAATCTTGCCTATCGTCTTTTCCAACACCACAGCAACAGAAACTTCCTTACAATACACACAGGAGAAGTGACTGTGTGCTATGGCTTTGAACATGGTCAGCACCCAGGAGACCAGAGCAGCCTCCTGGCCTGTCTCTGTGTAGGGGTCAACTGGACTCCACCAAGCAAAGGAGCCAGTGAGGAAGCAGTAGTTCAAAGGCTTTTTTTCCAGTACCAAGAATTGAACCCAGGGGCACTTGACCCCTGAGCCCCATCCCCAGCCCTATTTTATGTTTTATTTAGAGACAGGGTCTCACTGAGTTGCTTAGGACCTCACTTTTGCTGAGGCTGGCCTCGAACTTGCGATCCTCCTGCCTCAGCCTCCTGAGCCTCTGGGATTAGAGACATAAGCCACCCCACTTGGCTCAGAGGCAGTCTTCACAGAGTCTAAAAGATCAGAAGAGATAATCGATGGTGGCCAATCTGCAAGCTTCCCCCACGCCCCTGAAACTGCTGCCCTCTCCTGGACTACTCTCCCATGCGCGGATTAGAGGTTCTAGAAAAGTCGACACCACAGCTGAAGTTCCTTTTGAAGCAAAGATAAAACGAGCACACCTCTGTTCCTCCTCTAAGCACCCACCAACTTCCTTAGGGGGCAGACAATCCACCAGGCTCATGTCTGCTGTTGCCACATGTGAACCCGAGTGCTCATCACTGCAAAAATACTCGCTGTCTGCCAGACCAGGGCCCAGTGCGAGATCCCACAGAGCCCGCGAAAATGAATCCCAGATGGCCCCAGCCCTCTCTGAGCTCAGAGGGTAGTCAGCCCTGGCCTGTGGCAGGGTCACAAGCAGCTGGGACACCAGGCAGAGACACGCTATGCTCTTCAAAAACATGACAGGAAATCCAAGGAGGGAAGGGGGAGGAACCGGTGGAAACTTCTAGAACAGATGCCCCACTCATGATCTCCAAGGAGGAAGGTTCTCTACGTGGAAGGAGAAAACATGAGCAACGAGTGCCCAGGCCCAAGGTACAGGGACGTGTGGAACCAGGGCGGAGAGGTCCAGCCGGGCCTGGGCCAAGTGTCCCCAAAAAGATGGCACAGAGGAAGCCAGAGTGGCGGGTACCTCGTATCCACGGGCCACAGTCAGCAGCCCTGGGGCCTCTCTGGCTCGTGTCCCCCTGGCTGACTGCATAAATCAGTGTCCCCACTGTCCCCTGCTCCTACTGTCTAGAAGGCTCTAGAGAGTCCTCCCTGTCCCTGGATCCTGGTGACAAGTGAGAAGAGGGGGTCTCACTCTCCACGCTGCCCGATGGGAAGGGTGGACACGGAGTCCTCAGCCAGCCGGGCCCTCACCTGACCTCTCCCCCTTCACCGAGGGCTTCCTCCTTCACCGGGAGGCTCTCAGACGTGACAGTCGCCTGGGCCACCTTCTTTCTTGCTGGGCGATCTGTGGAGTCCCCAGGGTGACTGCGACCTCTCTTCTTCTTTCCTGGGGAAACTTTTGGGACGAGGCCCTTCTTGGGGGCTTCCGGTTTCTTGTCTTCACAGACACCTAGGTGACCACACAGAACAAGAGTTGGGGACAACAGGAACGTGGGCACAGAGTGGCTTAGGGACAGGGTCTGCGACCTCTCTCAAAGCGCATCTCCATTGCGGCTCACCATCCCGCCTTGGCCCAGCTCGGGCCTCGCCCCCCTGCAGCCGTGGGAAGGTCCATTTTCCTGTCTGGGTCGCAGCACCAGACGTGGAACCCAGGGCTGCTGTGACCCTCGGCTGCCTCCTGCTGATTTTTTGAGACAGGGCCTCCAAGGCTGGCCTCCAACCCACGAGCTCCCCTCCTGGGTCGCTGGGGTGACAGGTGAACCCCTGCTCCTGGCCAACCCAGGCCCCTGACCCAGCCTTTATTCTATTTCTCCTGAGACTCTGGAAACCACCAAGGGACTCAAGTAAAATCAGAATTCTGTGTCTTAAACCCTCACCTCCCTCCAGCAAGCAAACTAGCTGAACCCACTCCTGGAGACCTGGCTTCCTGACGCCCTGATCTGTCGGGAGGGTAGGCCACAGGAGCGACAGGTTTCAAGTTCATCTACAAGTCTGAGTTTTCCCACGACCTTATTTTTATGAATCTGTCTCTGCCACAGGAGCCTGGTCAAAACCCATCCTGCTGCAAGATCTCTCCAACCGCACCCCAACGTCCCACCAAACTCAGAGGTGGACAAAGACAGGGCACACACAGGTGGTGTCTCCTTTCCAATCGGAAGTGCTCACATATACGACGTTTTGTGTTTTTTTTCAGATTCTGAAATACTACCCATTCCTAACCCAAAAGTCCAAAATCCAACATTTTTGCCACGTTTCAGACATCAAAAATTTGGGGACGTCAGATTTTCAGAACACAGATGCTCAGCCCACAGTATTTCAAAAACACCACTATCTTCTTAACATAAGTATTCTTGATTTCTGTTCAAGGGAACTATTAAAAATTCACAAGCTGTTGATTTTAGTTGATCAGTGTGTCTAAACATATTATGTTTCTATATGATCATATTATTCACTTTAAAAATTTATAAATAAAAGGGCCAGGAAAAATATTGTCCCGCTTTGCAATGACATTCACACAAATAAATCTTCCTTTTAATTTTGTATGACTCTGCTTCAATTAATTTTGGAAAATAAAAATATTATAGCTTTTATGTAGGTCCTAAAAGGGAATGCAGTGCTAACCTCAAATATAAAATTAATTCATCTCTTTCGCTCGTAGATAGTACATGCTCAATAAATAGCTGTCAGAGGAATTGATGAGTTATAGCGATAGAGGCCTTAAAATACAGCACCATGAAGAAACCACAGAGTTTTCACCGCAACAAGGAAGCAATGGGGGAGGCTACTTTGTTCCTAACTGTCCAGAGCAACACACCGTCACCTTCATTTGCATGCACAGAAGTGCTATTACAGTCTACACTGGGTGCTGGGGCTGGGGCTCAGGGGTAGAGCGCTCACCTAGCAAGTGTGAGGCCCTGGGTTCCATCCTCAGCACCACATAAAAATAAATAAATAAAATAAAGGTATTGTGTCCATCTACAGCTAAGAAATAATTTTTTTTTTGAATTTGGTATAATGTTAGAAATGATGCTGAACATCAAGTTAACTTCAGGTTATTGTCACCTGCATCTAAACCACAACTAGCAGGTCTGTGCTCCTCAACCCAACCACAACAAAGGTTCTAAGCCTTCAGACCCTGCAGGTTGCCTTGGAAACATACTGCTCACGCCTCTGGTTGGCAAGAGCTCACCAGTTGAACTGGAGGACATCCTTCAGCCGAAGTGCTATGAGCTGGTCCTACAATGTCCCAACACGGACATACCCAGGGCTTCCTGCATACCTCCCTGGAAACTCACCGCCACCCCAAAGGGCAGTTTTGTTTCCCAAATGAGGTTCAGAAAGGCTGAATTATTTGTCCAAAATAACTTCCCCAAGTGCCCACAACTACTAAGTGTTGGAGCTACATGAAACTCGGGCCCAGGTGACTACTGATCTGGGCCCAAGCATTTTCATCCGATTAAAACCTTGACTTTTTGAATTGCTACCTACCAAGAACACAAGCCGAGTGGAACTCCCACTTCCTATCATGGTCCCTTTGCTGAAATAATAGCCATCTTTAAAGGGGCACATCAAAGGACTCCTTCACAGAGTACTTTCCAATCTCTTGAAGTCAAACTTGATTATTCCTTTGGAAGGGAAAAAGGCTCACACATTCTCTTGTGATATTTAACATGCTCTTCCTTGGGTATTTTGCAGGCATGAGTTATGTCTACACAGTATTCTAAGTTCCTGCAAGACACCTCTACCTTCTATGTCATCCAACGGATGGATAGCACATGCCAGGTATTCAAAAACAAAAACAAAAAATTTATCTGAATAAATTGTAGGAATAATATGAAACTCATGATATTAAGTGTGGAGTAAATCACTTCCTAAACTTAGGATTTATGACCCCATTTGATTCACTTAATGGATCGCTATTCATCCAAATGAATTCGTAATGTGTTCAAAATTACATAATCTCACGTCCTGGAGGCAAACAAGTGTTACCTAACCTAATCTTCTACCCAGCTATCTCAGAAGGTCCACAGATCGCTACTACAACATGCATTTTGCACAAATTGATGCTATCTATTGATTATATGGTGTCGGGGTGGGGGACTAGTTGGGGAGAACATTAGAACATAGTTTTTTTTTTTTTTTTCCTTAAACAAAGGCATGCTTTCATGAAGCTTAAATTCCAGAAAGACAGTCAAAAATTAACAAGATCATTACAGATTGAGAAAGAGGGGGGGAGGGAACGACTAGGGTCCGATGGGACAAAGTACCAGGGAAAGATCACCATAGATGGGACGCTCATGGGGTGTCTGAGATGTGAAATAACAAGAGATGAGCCCCACCAAGAGCCCCGGGAGAACATTCTAGGCAGAAGGAACATCAACAACAAAGGCTTCCAACATCAAAGGGCAGACAACTTGGCATTCGCACTTGGGGAAGGGAAAAAGGGCCAACCAGGAAGCTGCCTGGCACGCAAGAGTGGTAGGAGAGGAGCCCCATCCAGATCGTGCAGGGGCACGCAGGCCCCGATAAGGGAGGCAGATTTTCCATTTTCCAAGAAATGGGAAACCCACAAGGTCTTGAAGCAGGAGCAAGGCACATTTTTTGCTGTGAACATCTTGGGGGGCTGCCTGGTGGGCACCTAGTGCAGAGGGCGGAGGGGAAGCAGGAAAGGAGGCAGGCGAGGATGGCTTGGACCTGGGTGATGGACATGCAAATCAGGTGGACAGACAGACGGAGGCACAGTTGGGAGGCTGAGCTGGCTGGAGTCTGCAGACGGACTGGGAGCCAGGGAGGAAGCGGGGACGGGGCTGCAACAAGTGGGTGCAGCGATCAGTTACTCAGATGGAAGGAAATGGGACAAGGACATGTTTAAGGAGGAAAACTCGGTTGCTGTGCTTTGGGGACAGTGAGGCTGAGCTTTGGGGACAGTGAGGCTGAGCTTTGGGGACAGTGAGGAGGCCCGTCCGACACCCACGCGGGGCAGCACAGAGGCTCAGATGAAACTTGGTGGCACTGACTATCCTGGGAGTCGCCACTAACCACGTCCCGGACCCTGTGTCTTCTGGGGACCCACTTTTTCCCGCGCCGACCTGAGCATTGCCCAGAGGCTAAGCGGCACCAAGGGGCGACGGGGACAGGAAGGAAGGAGGCTCCGGGAGCTCGTGGCAGGTGGCTGCCGGCGCGGTAAACAAAGGCACGGGCCGTCGCAGGGTCCCCTCGCGGCTCAGCCACCCCGCTCCGTCCCCCGGCTTCCGCCCGCCGCCGCCCGCCCGCAGCATCGCCCCGCGGAGCCCGGCTCGGCCCCGCTCTCACCCGCCGCCTCCTCACGCGGCGCCGCATTCCTGCCCCTGGCGCTCCGGCCGCTCGGCTCGCGTCCCCGCGGCTCCCCTCGGGCCCCGCGCCTGCGAGCCATGCTGCCCGGGCAAATCTCCCCGGCGCGTGACGCAGGAGGACTCCCCAAAACAGCCGCGCGCGCGGGGCCCGCCCCCAGGCGGGGCGAGGCCTGGCCGCACCCCTTCTCGGTGGGCCAAGCTCCTCCCCCAGGAGGAAGCTCCGCCCAGCTCCGAAGGGCCCAGACGCACCGACCCTCATCACTACTTCCGGAGCGTGGCGTCATTGCGCTTCCGGTTCTCCGGTCCCGGAGACGCTGGCGTGTTCTCGCGAGAGCCGGGAAAGGGCGCAGGGTTTGAAACATGGCGGACGACGTGGACCAGGTGAGTGGGTTCTCAGGACCCGGCTCCAGAACAGCGTCCCCGCCCCTTGCGGCCCTGGCCCTGCTCGGCCTCGCGTACCAGGGCCGTCTCCTTCCAAGCCCGTGGGAAGGCGGTCCGCCGCGGTGGCTCGTCCCGGGTCGCCGCTGCCTCATCTGTGCCATCGGCCGTCGCGCCCCTTCCGGACCCCGAGGTCCTTGTCAGCCCGCCCGAGAGGGGCCCGTCGCGCTCGCCACCTCTGGGCCCGCGAGGCCTGCCCTTGTCTGTGGAGTGGAAGGAGCCGTCCCTGCCTGTCACCCGGGGCGGTCCGGGCCCCCGCAGGAGGCGGGACCGGGCGGTCAGGGTCCCTGGGGGACGCCTGCCTGCCCGCCCTGGAGCCCGTGCTCTGCAGGAGGACAGACAGGTGCAGGTCTGTGACCGGGGAGCTGTGACAGGAGCAGCGGGCCCCGGGTAGGGAGGGCGTGACCCGCCCCTGCACCTGCTCTTGTGCTGGCCTCGGGCCACGACTTCTGCAGCTTCCTACCGCGGGAGTCTCCGCTGCACGAAAGAGGACTTCCCGGCCACTTATGTAAAGTGGCACTTGGTTTTGTTTTGTTACAGCATTTTTTATGTTGAACGTGAGCTGCTTCGTTTCATGTGCGTCTCCCACCAGGAGAACGCGGGGCCATAAGGCTGATCTGTGCTCAGCGAATATTGACTGAGTGAATGAACCAAGTGATGGGGACACGGGGTGCACCGTGGGCATCCTGCGCCCGGGTAGCAGGAGGATGGTCGTGTTTTTATAGAACTATCGTTACCTATTAATGTGCATTTCTCCACAATAATATGAGCTCCCTGGGCTGGGATCGTGGCTCGGAGGTAGAGCGCTCCCCTCGCACGGGCGGACCCGAGTTCGATCCTCAGCACCACGTAAAAATAAAGGCATTGTGTTGTGTCCATCTACGCCTAAAAATAAATATTTAAAAGTAATAATGATGATCTTCTGAGCTCCCTGATGGTGGCGACTGCGGTCAGCCAGTCCTTAAACAGCTGTTCAAGTGAGGTGAGGAACGTACCAACTGATGTCAGGGGTTTTTTGGGTTTTTTTTTTTACCGTCTCATTTGTCCTTTTGAACCTTCTGTCACCTCCTTCCACCAGTTTCATGTACTCTCTGAAGCAGTTCTTGAATGATCTTACCAACTCCTCCTGGCTGCAGCCATCCCGTCCATGAGGATGACCCTAAGTCATCCAGCCCTGACCTCTGAGGCCTGTATGTTGAATAGTTCTCTAACAGTGATAATGGAAACCATTTATTTTGTTCACCAGGTATTAGGTCATTTAGTCCTCGTAAGAACCCTAAAGGCTTCCTCGTGTTACAAATGAGGAGTCTGAGGGTTGTGATGGCAGGATTGGTAATCCGAGTTCAGGAGAGTCCAGTCAGAGTCAGGAGTTGGTCACAGACTGCCTGACTCCAAAGCTGGTGCTTTCAGTCGGTATTCTATACGCCTGCCAGATTCCTGCATCTTCCTGACCAGTTCCCACCGTAAACTCCACCTGCCCTGTGCTTGATTCATGATCTTCCCTTAAATCTGCACCTCTGGTAGCATTCTGAATTCACAGAGACATTAGGTGAATGTTTTGTTTGTTTTTGAGAGAGAGACAGAGAGAATTTTTTAACATTTATTCTTTAGTTCTCAATGGACACAACATCTTTGTATGTGGTGCTGAGGATCGAACCCGGGCCGCACACATGCCAGGCGAGCGCGCTACCGCTTGAGCCACATCCCCAGCCCTAGATGAATGTATTTTAAGTGACTGAGTAAGATCTGAGACAAGACTAAAGTCCCTGGATATCAAGGAAACAAAGTCATGCTTACTTTGCTGAATAATTCATATGTCTTTCTGTCTTAGTGCTCATTTATGTCGCAGGTGTTATACAAGAGGCACTGTACTAAGCCTTCATACGTATCATTTAAGCCTCCCAACAATAGAATTAAGTAGACACTATTGGTTTTCCTGTTTTGCAGACTGAGGCACAGAGGGGTTAAGTAACTTGCCCCCAGTGACACAGCAGGGCAGAGATCCAAACTCCGCGCCCCCTCTAGTATCACATCCTAAGCCTGTTTTCTTTTATCAGCAACAAACCACGAACACCGTAGAGGAGCCGCTGGACCTCATCAGGCTCAGCCTGGATGAGCGCATTTACGTGAAGATGAGAAATGACCGAGAGCTGCGAGGCAGGTTACATGTGAGTACATCAGATGACCTCGAAATCAGACTGTTTCCTGTCGCTCCTTCCTGCCTCGCTCCTTGTAGTGCAGGACTGTGCAGGGGAGAGCGTGTTTTAAAATGCAGGAGAAGGGGGGTAGATAGTCGCTCCTGTTTCTATAAACCCAACACAACTGCACTTTACTCATTGTTATCAATTTTTTCTTTAGTAATTTCATCAGAAATGTTTGTTAGAGTTCCTTCTCCTTCCTTCATTTCTCACTTTTATTTTTAAATAAATTTGTCCTCCATTCTTACTTAAATATATACATATATACTCATTCAGATCTTTTCTGTATATTTTCTCAACACACAGGTGTAAGCGTATGTGTGTATACATGTAGACACATATATACACGTACACGTGTCTGTGTGTAGATGCTTATATTTGCACACCTCTAAAAAAAGTGGAATCCTGTTATACATGTTTTTCAGCACCTTTTTCATTTATGAGTCTCCTTTGCTTCCACTAGGGAAGGCTTGGATAGTGAATGACAGTGCTGTATGAATGAGGGCTGTTTTGTATTGTAGACAGTCCTTGTGTATAATGGTGACTTTACCTGTATGACGGTGGCATTTAGACTATCTCCCATTTCTTGCTCCTATAAATGAGGCACATATTTCTTTGTGCCTGTGTGCAATTCTTCCTGTAGAATTGGCCCCTTGAAGTGATCCTGTTTGTTCATAGAAAACCTGGAAGATGTGGTCTCTCCTTGGTCACCTCCTAAGTGTGCGGCTTTCGTCACTGTTTCTGTCCCCTGAACTGGTTAAACACGGCTGGTGTTTACTGGGCACAGCTGCACGTCAGGTCCTGTTGTTCTGAGGTGTCTGCCTCTCGCCGTGGCCCCAGTGGGGTTTCTTTTCCATCCTAAACTGTATACTTGGCCCTGGTTTGAGCTCCCTGCACAGCACTCCCCACGTGGCCTGTGGGCCGTCTATTCTGAGGGGCACATAAACCATCCAGCACTGTTGCAGTCAGCGTGAGGAGACGCTGCGCAGGGACCTGGGGCCCACGTGTTGGCAGAGTGCCTGAACTCCCGAGGCCACACTGAGTGTCTTGGTCACATTTATTCCCTCGGCCCACAGGTGCCAGGCACGTCCATGTCCTGCAGAGTTGCTCCACCTACCTGCCCTTTGTGGTGTCCAGTCCACCCCAGGACAGGGCGGGTCTGATGACAGGGTCCTGTGCCTTTAGAAAAGTGCAGTGCCGTCATCTTAACAGTTGAGGAATTTCTTCTCTCAGTTCCTGTTTCTTTCCTTTCACACTGTGGCTGGCTCCATGGAAACGAGTCTGCTGATCAGTGATAATGTGCTACTTTTCCTAATGACATGACATGACCACTGTGGGTAAGGAGCAGGGTGGACACTCAAGAAATTATTCCAAGTCACTTTTAGTAAATGCATTCGGGGCCGTGATAGACAGTGTTGTTTTTATTGGGTCAGTCCAGCTGTCGCTGAGACCATCTGTAAAGAGGTAGGGTAGCAGCAGATTGTTGTCACTGGTAGGTGAAGCGTGTGGTGTGAGCATCAGGTGCATTACCTGTGGTGGTACAGGTGACATGTCGTGGCCCTGCTCATGGTGGTTTCTCCGCCGGGTGGGTGTGTGTTTTCTGATCCCTCGCCCTCCCACTCCAGGCTTACGATCAACACTTAAATATGATCCTGGGCGACGTGGAGGAAACCGTGACCACGATAGAGATCGACGAAGAGACGTATGAAGAGATCTATAAGGTAAGTCATCCCATTATCTCAGCTCATCACTTTGAACTTGTCACTTGTTCTCGGCATGCCACGGCTCCAGGAGGCCTGTCAGGTTGGGACACCTACTTACGGACTTGATTGAGTGTGGCAATTAAAAGGAGAGCCCGGAGGTCAGGCGGATCTGGTTTCCGCTACTGACTTGGCCACTACCTACCAGGGCTCCCTTGGGCAAGAGAATCCACTGAGTCGGCTTGTCGGGGGTGAGCAGGAAGGCTGCGCTCGACCTCCTGGGGCAGCCAGGGTCATTGTGACAGTGCGAGGTGCTGCCTGTGAGCTGTGTACAACAGGGATACAGAACGATGGTCTTCCACGTCACGTGGACTTGGCCTGGTGATGCCTAAGGTGTCAGGAACTAAAACAGAGACAGTTCACAGAAGTATTCACTCATTCAGACACGCGCATATCCATTGTGAATACAAGTAACACTGTTACGGGGCTGGGGTTGTGGCTCAGCGGTAGAGCGCTCACCTAGCACGTGCGAGGCCCTGGGTTCGATCCTCAGCACCACATAAATATAAATAAACAAAATAAAGGTGTTGTGTACAACTAAAAAAATAAAATATTTTTTTTTTTAAATAACACTGTCACAAACAACCACTGTTTTCTAGAACAGTATTTAGTGAAGTGCGTTTGCTGTGCACTTTGCCAATGTCTCTGCGAACCTCCTTACTGCCGGCAGGTTTGCGTGCCTTTTACCTGCAT